CTACCAGACGAGAGGCGTTTCCCACTCGCGAAATAATATTCACATTGCATTCTACAAAGAAAGAAACAAAAAATATAATTTTGCAGCGCCGTACTCCCATGCGGCCACCTGGATAATCGATAATGTCAGCTTCCAGATCCGACCATTTGGCACTCGGCTATTCCTCGCACTCTGCCAGCCAAAACCGTTCCAACTCTCCCTCCGCCACAAACCCGCCAATCGATCCCTTGTCGGCTTCGACGAGATCAGTCTTTGGCCTTGCCGGCGGCATGAATTCAAGTAGCATTATAGCTAGCAACACGCGATCCGGGGCTGGTTCTCCGTCGCACGAAATGGCGGCTTCCAGCCGGCTCTATTCCAAAAGGTTCGTGGCACTCCAAAGCTCCGCCTCCCCAATCACGACAAGTATCACGAAAATCCTACATCATTGAGGCGTGTGGCCGTAATTGGGACAAAAAGCTGATGGTTTATCATTTTTCACTTTAGGGCCCGCGAGATTCAGGCTCAAGAAGGTGTTCCTGGCCTCCCTCTCAACCCTTGGGGCGGGCCACCGACAAGTGGGAATTCGACTCCTCTCCGAGAAAACATCCCCGAGTCTCCCACCGACGGCTTCCCAGACTTCGTCCAGCTGCCTACGCCCGAGACCTTGCCTACGACTAGACGTGCTCGAGCTGGCACCGTGCCCTCGCGGTTCCCCGGAGGCATTGGCAACAATCTGCTAGCCGTGCCTGGCCTGCCAGTCAAGTCTGCTCGCGTTACGCCTTCTCAGAGCCCATTCAACAAGTCGCCATCCCCCAGCATTGAGCAGCCTGAGAGCAACAATACCGGTACTTCGACTCTTCTCTCCAGGCTTCGTGCCGGGTCTATGCCACAGCGTAGCCCATTTGCCAACCTGCCTACTTCGGCCTCGCCTTTTGGCCCCTCAATCTTCAGCAGCTGGAACCCCTCCGGTCTTGGCCGCGAACGAGGCTCTACTCTTGCCAGCATCGCCAGTGTTGGCTCCAACGGCCCGAGCTCGCCAGCCCAGTCTCAATTCTCCAGAGAGGGCGGCGGAGAGTCCGATGTGCATATGCGGACTTTGGACTATCTTGGTCTTGCCGAAACCCCACAGCCTGCGAGAGCTCAGCTTGCCACGCCATCGTACATTTCCAACTTTGACATGACCCGGCACGCCAGTCGCTTCCGCTCCTACTCTGTCAACAACAAGGACAAGTATGCTGACGAGGAGGATGACTATGACGCCGACATGCCAATGGACAGCCAGTACGCGGCGCTCCAGGATCAACTCGCTGCCACTCAAGCAGCAATCCACAACCACAACATGGCCGTCCGAGCCTTCGCAACTCAGGCAACACGGCCGCGTGCCCGCACCGCTGGCGTCTTGGATACACCGGGAAGCCGCTTGGTGGGATCTTACGGCAACAGCAACGCTGGCGCCGGCACCAACTCCATCCCCCAAGCCGAGATTCGCCTGCAGGACGAGAAGGAGTACGACGACATCTCGCAGGCGGTCGCTGGCATGAACCTTGGACGGTCCAACAGCCGCAATGCTGGCCATCTGAACCCCGAAGAGCAGGGTCTCGATGGACCCACCAGCGCCCTTTGGCTTGGTGGTATTCCCACATCCACCACCACCTCTACTCTTGTCGAAATGTTCAAGTCTCACGGACCGATTCTCTCCGCTCGTGTGCTCACACATAAGAACTGTGGATTTGTCAATTTCGAGAGAGTGGAGAGTGCAGTCTCTGCCAAGGCCAGCATGAATGGCAAGGAGATCTTCCCTGGCGCAGGTCCCATCCGAATCAATTTTGCAAAGCCCCCCTCTGCTTCCAACACTCCGGGACATGATGGAGCCTTTCCTTCTCCCAGCCCTGATCCTTTTGGAAAGACCCAAGACATTGGCAAGGGAGCTTTGGCTACCGGGCCTGGAGAGAGCGCGTCGACTGCCGCTGGAGCGCTTACTAGCGCTACGCCCACCCTGCCTCCTTTGCGCGACATGGTGACAGATATTCTCGATATTGTCGGAAAATTCGGTGCCACTGATGAAGATAAGGCTCGAATCTCCAAGACGCTGCAATCTGCGGTTCAGTACAACTCCTATATCGAAGAGATTCCCCCAGTTCGGGAGCCAACCCATACAAGGGTCCACGATGCTCCCAAGCTAAGAGACATTCGCAAGCGGATTGATAATCAAATGCTTTCGCAAGCAGAGATTGAGAGCATCGCCGTTGACATGCTCCCAGAGATTGCGGAGCTCTCATCCGACTATCTTGGCAACACCGTCGTTCAGAAGCTATTCGATCACTGTTCTGACCAGGTGAGGGATGCAATGCTCGCGGAGATTGCACCGCACCTGGCCGAGATTGGCATTCACAAGAACGGCACATGGGCGGCTCAGAAGATCATTGACGTATGCAAGACCCCCAGCCAGCTCTCCATCATTGTAGAGAACCTTCGACCCTACGCCGTCCCTCTCTTCCTGGACCAATATGGCAACTATGTCCTGCAAGGATGCCTCAAGTTTGGTGCTCCTTACACCGATTTCATCTTTGAGGCTATGCTCAGCCGAATGTGGGAGGTTTCCCAAGGCCGTTATGGTGCTCGAGCCATGAGGGCCTGTCTGGAGAGCCACCATGCAACAAAGGATCAGCAGAGGATGCTGGCAGCAGCCATTGCGCTGCACAGCGTTCAGCTTGCAACTAATGCAAATGGTGCACTTCTGTTGACCTGGTTCCTGGACACTTGCACCTTCTCCAACCGCCGTCACGTTCTCTCCCCCCGGTTGATCCCGTACCTGGTACCCCTGTGCACCCACAAGGTCGCTTACCTCACGGTTCTTAAGGTGATTAACCAGAAGAATGAGACTGAGGCCCGGGACAATATCCTGAAGCGCCTTTTCATCTCCCCCAATGACCAAGTACTTGAGGCTATACTTAGCGACCAAGCTTGCGGCGCTACGTTCATATTCAAGGTTCTCACGACGCCCTTCTTTGAGGAGACTATGCGACTTGAGGTTACAGAAAATGTCAAGAATGTCTTGGTTAGGATCAAGGCACAAGCAAACCAGGGCTACAAGCGTCTCATGGACGAGGTCGGCCTCTCAACTCGGACGGCCGGGGCAAACCGAGATGCCAGCACCCATGCAGAGCAGCGTCAGAGACCTACCTCCTCAAGACAAACCAATGGGCAGCAGCACGGCCAGCAAGGTGGCCAGCCTAATAAGGCATTCTACAACGGTACCTCGGGCGGCTCGAACTTTGAGGGCGGTCACACCCAGCAGAGAGGTGATAATGCTGATTCCGGAGCTCCCCCTTACCCGGCCTTCAACCAGGGCATGATGTACAATGGACCCAATGGACCCATGCCTCCTGCGATGAATGTCCCACAGCTACAGTATCAGCAAGGCATGATGAATCGAGGCAACCCGCAGATGAATTATCCATTCCCTCCGATGCAGCCCGGATTCGGTGGCTATGGCAACCCTGGTCAACCGGTTGATCAATACCGTCAGCAGAATATGCCCAACGGAAGCCCAATGCAACCCCCTGCTGGTGGCCAGCCACCTTACGGCCCGCCTCCTGGCTTTGGCATGGTTGGCGGATACGGCTATGGTGGAAACATGGGAGGCATGCCCAACATGGGATATATGCAGCAGCAAGAGCAGGTCAATGGTAGACGCGGTCGCGTACGTCCCTCATCTTCGAACCGGCAGGGCCGCAACAATTACTAACATATGGACTTCCAGAGAAAGTAATGTTTCTTTGGATTGATTATACATGGCGGCGCTATACGGCCAACGAAGAAAAAAGCCCATGGTCTTATATGCCTTTGTTTTGCAGCTAGCCGGTCAGTTTAGGCAAGAATCCCTTTTTTCCTTTCTTGCCGCGCGCGGAGTTTGGTGAAGATTGAAATTTGATAGAGACCCCACGCGATAGCGTTCGCCTCCAGCGGGCTGGTCTAGACAAATACTGGCTAAAGATATTTGCCTCCGAGACGCAGAGGCCTACATTGTTTCTTGCGTCGAGGATTTCTCATTTACACCATCACGAATCAACTCCTCTGTTTTGACCTAATAGCAGCGTGTGTACTGGGCTGGTCTCCCACATTCAAGCCGCGACCCAAAGAGACAGACAGAGGCATTCCCCCCCCCCCCCCCCCTCTCTCTCCCCCATATCATTTTTGTTCATTTGCTCTTTCTTCTACACATCATGTATGGACGGACGGTCACGGATATGAATCGATTGTTTATGCTGGAAAAGAAAAATATTCGGATGCAAAATTTGCGGGGAGCGCTGTCAGATCAATCGAATTCTGCTGATGTCTAATGTGACCATAGCCTCTTCTCTTCTTTTTTTTTTCTCTTTTTTTCCTCTTTTGTCTTTTTTCTTTCTCTTTTTATTCCTTTCAGTGTAGCAAATCGGACGACTTATGCCTTTAACTCTTGACGAGGTGACGAGGTTTCACGGACGACTTCCCTTCCATCATCCACGAAAGAAGAAAGAAAAGAAAAAGAAAAAGCCGAAAGTTGTTTATACTTTCACACTTTGTGCTCTATGACTTTAGCTTGGAATGGATTTTTTTCTTTCTTCTCACATTTTGTTTGAATGAAGGCTGGGTGAGAGCAGAAAGCAAGCGATTGATGAGAAAAGGGGGGAGGTGTGTGTGGAGGAATCAATATGTTGCTCGTTTTGTGTGAGATGGTTTGGATGGATAGGACCAGAAAGGTGAGACGAGTACACTTTTTTTTCTTTCTATTTTCTTTCTTTTCTTTACGTTGCTTGGCTTGCTTCAAGCTGGAAGATGGGAGGGATGACGAGGTTTGACGGATGAAACGAAGAGTTGTATATTATGATCAATAAAAAAAGTTTTCAATCATGAAATTTAAAGCAAATACTGTCAACCAATTTCCCCCCAACACTAGATTCCTTCACTAGTTGTACAAGAAGCGTATAAAGTTGATTTATTTAAGCCTTCACGAGCGCAGCGGTGGCAAAACCTTTGCAATCATGGTATCGTTTTTCATCAGTCAGACTATCCTTATCCTTGCCATGACAATGGCACGCGGCACCTTAGGCTATGATACAGCTGCATCAGCATTATTACTAGAAGTCTGCACCTCTCCCTCTTCGTCTCCTCCATCAATCTCTCGTATTTTTGTCCTCTCCCACCCTTCTTCCCCTTCGTCCCAACTAATCTCTTCCTCGGGGCGCAACACAACATGCCCATTATTTGTTCTCAGCAGCGAACACCAGTAGACTGGGTGAAAAGAGTGAGAAAACGCTCTTCCCTTTTAGTCTGCCATGGATAAGTATAAAAAAAAATGTTTGCAGTCTTTCGTTCCATATCCTCCCCTGTCCCCTGCTTCCAACTTGCACGTAAGATGCCAAAATCTCGCATATAGAAAAAGAAACACAATAAAAGAAAAAAGTAAGGAAACAAGAATACCAAAAATCGAACCAAAATCAAGCCACACACTGCGGTAGGCGAAAAGGACGAGTCATGATATTTTGCAAGCGCGTTCAATTATAACCTCCCCAACTCCTGGTTTCATGTTTTTTTCTTCGCAGAAAGGGAGAGGGAAAAAAAAACTCAAATGTGCTAAAGCAACGCGTAGCAGTTCAATAATCAGTGAAATAGCGACCAAGCGCTTGGGGATTTGTCTGCGAGCAGGGGGGAAACATATCAAGTCTTCTATGGCTTAAAGAAAAAAGGGCGATATTGTCGTAATCAGGCATTCGTAACAGTCTATCGAGGCCGGCAATTCGTCACCCGCTCTCAAGGCAAAAGACTTGTCTGTAGGGGGGATGCACTGTAACGGCAACTCATCGTGATCAGTCGAGTTCCATAGTGCCCTCCCCGTGATCTACGGTCGAGGGTGGTGTGGGTTCGGTAACAGGGGCAGTTGGCTCCGTCTTCTCTGGAAATGTATCCACGCCGGAAGTGTCGGTGATAGGTGAGCCCGTATCAGTGGCCTTGTGAGCCAGTTCTGTTGGCGGGGCTTCATCGCCCAGGAGGTGGCGAATCCTATCACCCATGGCGTTCATCTGCGCCAGCATAGCACGAAGGCTCATTTTGTCATCCTGTACTAGCTGGCCAGAGGCGATGTTGTCCGCATTGCCTCTCGCTATGAGGGCCAAGACATTGTCATCAGCAGCAGACTGAGAAAAGTTAGCAACTGGACAAGCAAAAGGCAGTATCACAACAGTGTGCAGGTACATACCAGAAGAGCAGCCGTAAGCTGATCGATATTCTCGGACCGACTCTGCTTGAGGCCCAAAAGGTTCAGAGACGCTTGCATCTCGTTCACCTTGCGGTCGTAAGCAGAACCGAGAAGCAGACCGCCTGCATCGCTCATGGATGGGGCTGGAGGTGCATAAGACATCCACCGCAATTCGTCATGACGCGGGCCATATCCAGCACCACGATGCCGTAGCCTTGAATATGGTCAGAACAAAGATTATTTGATTGGGGAGTTACGCGATACTTACTGCTCAATGAAATCGAGAACAACTCCCTTGGCCTGTAGCCTGTATGTTTTGCCAAACGAGTCGGGGTCACGCCAGCCCGACTTATCAGATTCCTCGGGCTCATCGGCCCAATCAAGCTCGATGTGGCCGTTATTCCTGATGCCGCGGCTGAGAGCCGGTGTAATGATTTGACCGCCTTTAACTCTGCGGAAGCGATGCGCTGGCGCCAGAGGTGGCACGTCTCCCAACACATCATCGACGTGTGCTGGACATCGCCAAGTCTTCAAGACGGGGGGCATGGCCAGTGGGGGGTCCAGGCAGTCAATGTGCCAATGGAATGGACAGGCGCTGCAAGGGATGATGGCTCGAATCTCAGTGGCTGGTTTTTGACAAGCGTGACACAGCACCGCTTCTCCGTCTTCACGCTGCTTGAAGAAATCCGGCAGCTCGTCATAGCCAGCACGCTTCCTGTAGCGAAAAGGATAGTCAGCAATCAATGTATGCGAGGAGAAGCCAGGAATTTTTGAGCCTCGGTGTTCAGTCTAGAAAATGGAATGAAACCAAACAAACGGCTGAGTAAATGGATCGCTTACTTTTGCTTGCTCGTCACCTCTTCATAGTCGCCATCGGCGCCGGCCTTGACACCTTCAAATCGATTCTGAAGCTTTTTCGGCAGGCTAAAGGCACGAGGAATGCTCTTCTCCAAGGCGTTGAGAGCACTCGCGAATGCACCCTTATAGACGGGCACGCGTGATGGATACCGCCGAACAAGGCATTCGTTGCAGTACCATTCGTCAGGGAGATGGTCAGACTGCACCATATCCACGCACTCAAAGTGGAATGAGCGTGGGCAGCCATCACAGCAGACGACGTCTCCTGTATTACCACATGCAGAGCAGTACTCATCGTTATCGGATCCCTAGGATGCCCACCCTAGTTAGCATAGCTTTCCCCCCTCATCGTCGTATTACACGTTGCATCATCCTCCAAACCTAGGCGGCATGGGGGCGGATCAAGACAGCATCCACTAAAATTTGCGTGGTTGGAGATCCTTGCCCCATGTCGTGGCCCCCAGATCAATGACTCCATCCAGTCACCTTTGGCCCGAAATCAGGGCAGTGTATGACAGTGCGAGAAAAAAAAATTCGTGTGCGTGAGAAACATAGGGCGCTTGCCTCCAGCTCAAGGTTATGAATTCTCATAACCAGAATCAAATACCGCAATTGCAATATCGGCACACAAGGAGGAATGTTCTCATTCTCAAAAACAGATAACATGAAATCCCAGAGTCACATACCTGGTCTCTTGGTGCACCATTGCTTACCGTTACTGATTGTGCCTCACCCGTTGAGCGAGGAACACCGGCAGCAGTTCCGCCCTTCTTTTTCATTGGCCTGTGATGAATGGTCATTTAGCAGGGGCAACTTTGTAGTAGTGAATTCGGTCGAAATGCGTCTCAAAGAGGGGAAATAGTAGTGATTAAGACAAGGGATTTCGTTTGATGGTGAAGTGTGAGGCTGGAGAAGGGACTGAAAATTGTTTCTTCACAAGCCCGGAAAGATGTTCTGACAAGTCCAAACGCACATGGCGTTTCACATCAGACGAAGTAGGCCAGCTCATGGCCAGCTCATTCACGCTTTTTTTGGTGCGTGTGTGAGGGCAAAATTTTCTTCATGTTTCCCCATAAAAGAGCAATGTGGCATTTGGGCGTATAGAAGGGTAGACTCATTTGCGAAAGGAAAAAAAAAAGTGAAGAGCTGGGTAAGAGCTGAAACAAAGGGGAAGAGAGTGAAAGAGAAGGGAAAGTGAAAGAAGTGAAACTTACGACAACTTGATACGGAGGCCTGTCCTCGGCTTCTTTGTCGGACGCAGACCAGTTGGCGTCACGGCACGAGATCCAACAGTTGAGCTACCTTCGTTGAATGAAAAGGCCAGTGGCGATGAGACGGCAATGTCTACATCGTCATTGTTGTTGTTGCTGTTGCTGCCTGGCCGCTTGCTTGCTGATCGCGTGGACCGCGTGCTGATGGGAGCTGCCAGGGAGTGCCGCGTCCTCCTCGTCCTCTTTGCAGGAGTCACTTCGTCGCGCTCATCATCGTCACCATTCCGAACTGAACTCTCCCTGGCTGTATAGCCGTTGGTGACCCTCTGAGCATCGCGACGCCGAGTCCAAAACAGATCGTCGTCATCTGCAGGCATTTGAGCCCCGACAGCGCTGGCGCCGTCCTTGTGGCAGACTGACCTGGCGTTGCCGGCAGCTTTGCTGGGAGGGTTGGAGAGCAACAACTCAGAGCCGGTGACCCTGCCAGGCATACTGGCATCGGTCGCGGATGTGTGGGTGCGGCTCGGAAGTGTGGGAGAGTTTGGCTCCGAAGAGTTGGACACGGGCTGCTTGTCGGAGGCGAGAGATTTGCGGCGCGTGCTGGTGATTGGCCGAGATTTTGGCGCATCATGGGACGACTGGGACCGGTCCCCCGTAGTCGACGCAGCAGCAATCACAGTGTCAGCGACCGTGGCACCACCACCATTACCACCGTTACCACCACCGCTAGCAGCAGCAGCACGAGCTTGCGCTGCTTTGCCTGCTTTGCCAGCCTTGCTGGATTTCCCAGGGCCGTGCTGGAGACTCGGGCTGAGGCTGTGGACGCTGGCTTCCGGCGACGAGAGGCTCATTGCTGACGACAGGGATGACTCGCTAGAGCCCGAGTCCCGCCGGTGACGCCTGCGCGACGGCGTGCGGATGCTGTCGCCATGCGATTTGATGCCGTGGGCCATCTTCTTGCTGCGTGACGTCTCGCCGGCGTGCGAAGACTTGCTCCTCTTGGCGGCTCGCATCTCGCCCTTTTCGTCGTCGGCGTGATGGATCAGAAGCCTGGCATAGGGAGCTGGCTTTGGCTTGTGCGGAGTGAACCTGCTGTTAGTAGAAGGGGGCACGAAGTAGTAACAGCCCTGGTCGTCCTTCTTTCCCTCTCGCTTCTTGACTTCAATGAGCCGGGCGAATTCATCCATGGTCTCGGCGTCGGCTGTCTGCTTGAAGACGTCCTCCACCATGGCCACAAATTCAGAATCGCCGCATCGTTCATCGTAGAGTGACCTAAGTGCCCAAGCCGTAGGATACCGGTAGTGCATGAGTGCTTCGTCGACGGCTGCCTCAACGACCTTGTCCGCAAAATCCCTGTCCTCGGGCTCCCGTGGAGGCGCCTTCTTTGGAGTAGCTGCTGCCAGCTTGGCCTTTGGCGTAGTGATGACAACGGTGGTAGTTTTGGCCTCGCCCGTGTTCGCGTGTTGCCGCGGCTGCTTGGCAGGCACCGACACGCGCCGTGAGGGTCGTCGACGCGAGGCCCCCTTGGGGTCGTATTCCTCGTCCTCGGCATCTTTGGCGGCCTGTAGCCTCCTGTGCGATGGTGCTGACGCGGGAGGAGGCGGTGTCGAGGGAGCGGGGGAAGACGGCGCCCTGGGTCTGGTCCTGGGCAGCGCGGCCTGGTCGTCGTGATGGGTTGCGGCGTGCGACGTCCCCGAGGGCCTGAGAATGATTTTCCGCACAGACTGGTGGCCTGGTCCAGCGTCTCCCGTCTTCTTGGGCTTGGGCAGCGTCCCCAGCGGCGCCATGGTCTCCAGCACGCCGTACCGCATCAATCCCGCCTCCTCGAAGCTTGCCTTGCTCTGGACCGACGGCTCCAGCCACCGCTGCATAAACGTCTTGGAATCATTGCCCGCGGAGCTCTTGGGCTCGAGCGGCCGCGAAGGGCTTGAGAAGCGCGACCGCGACGCCCTCGTGTTGGAGGAAATCATGGCGAGGCGAGTTCGAGTTGCTGGTTGCCCCCAGCCCTGGCCGCGGGACGGGCAACGCTGCTCTCGAGTGTCTGCGAAAAGGGACGGGTCAGCCACTGGATGTCGGCGAGCTGGCAGGGGGACTCGGGGCTTCAGCGACGGGGAAAAACGCTACTTCTCTCTGCAGCAACAGCATCAGCTGTCTGGGCACGATGCTCGATTTTTTGGCGCTCCGGACGCGCTTTTTGCGTGGCTTGGATCAAGGGAAAGGCTGTGGGTGCAGGTTCTGGATGAGTTTCGGAGGAGGCGGCCAGGCTTGTTGGACAAGGGGGGCGACCCAGTGGCACGTCCAAGGTTCAACACCTTCCCACCACCGATTCAGAGTTCCGACCTTAGGGTTGGCGGACAGCGAAGAAAAAAAAATCGCCTCGAGATGTCATGTATTTCTAATGATTCCTGTGGAAGCGGTCTAGGCTGCGCAATCCTCCCGCCTGCCTTTTGATACTTGCACGGCCCTCCTTTCTTTTTGCGGCGCCTCACCCTCGGGCAGCTGCCAGCACGCCTCGCCGGCCTCCCTACTCTGTGCTCCTCGCTCCTCGCCCTCGCCCTCGCCGTCTCTTTTCCCATCCATCTCTCACTCTCTCTCACTCTCGTCCCTCTCTCTTTGCCGTTCACCCCATTTCTCGTCAATCGGAAAATCGCCTCCCAGCTGCTGCCCGACTCCGAGACACTCGTCCGCGGCCCTGGGCATGGGTATGGGCATACCTGCATTATTAGTTACATGAGGACATCTGCTACGTGTAAGCTTGTATTGCGGTTTATCCCCCCCTGCCTGAGCCGCCAGCCTCGGCTGCTGCCTCTGCATGGCGAGCCTTCAAAGAATAGATCCAAGGCAGCCTGGTTCGCCTCCGTTGCCTTCGGACCCTCTCTTTTTTTTTTCGACTGGTCTCATGAGATGAGGAGCTGTGCCAAGTTATCTCACTTCGTATCGGGGGCGGACCTACGAGGGGAGACGCACTCCGCGCTGCTTCACTTCTATCTCCAGGTTGCCCTTTTGGGATTTTCTTTTCTTTTCTTTTTCCTTGTACCCATTCCTTTTTCCATTGCCGTTCCTCTTTCTTGGTTGTAAAATATAAATAAAATCAAACAAAAATTCATCACTGCCTTCATATTACCTTTTCGTCTCAATATGGGTTGCAATCATCCTTTCGCATCTTCCAATCCCAGATAAACGTGCACGTGCTGAACCCGTGGTGGCCGGAGTTTGCCTCGAGACGAAGTTTGTGTTTGATGTTTTATATATACTGCCTCGCTTCACTAGTCTCACGAGCCCTCTATCGTAGCCCACCGCTATCCCCTAGATAGATTGTGTTGGGCAGAAAATCCCGTCTCTTGGCCTACACGAACTGTAAAGCCGAAATGTATTTTTTTTCCTCATCTCTTTTGTTTCGTCGAGCGGATTTTCTGCCTAAGTATCAACAAGGCTTTATCCTAACTCTGGGCAGCCATTTACTCAACAAACACGACCCTTTACACGAATACAAGTTTCCGAAGCTTTACTCCTCGCCATCGGCTCCCTCCTCGGCAGTTCCGTCGGCCTTGGTCGCCTTCTTCTTGGGCTTAGACTTCTTCTTTCCGGTATTTCTGGCCAGAGGCTGCTCAAGGATTTGGAGAATCTCCTCGTCGGTGATCTTCTTGTCAGTCTGGTACTTGCTGAGGTCGAGCTCAGGGGCGCCGCCCAGCTTGGTGATGCCGTTCTTGGTGATGGCTGTCGCGCTCACATATTAGCTCAGCTGCACAAGCAAAATTGCTTTTTCATCACGTCACGGTGACACTTACCAAGAGTTGTGAGGAGTCTGGCGACGGGGAGGTTGTCCTTGTCACCGACAAGCTCGTACTGGCGGAAAACGTTGCTTCGAACACACTCGACAACGCCAGACTTGGCATCACGCTCATCCTCCAGCTGTCTCAAGCTGAAGGGGAAGGTACCAAACTTCTTCTGCACCTCGGAAAGGATCTTCCTGGAGGTAGGGCGCTTCAGCTGGTAAGTCTGGTTTGTTCGGCGGTGAAGAGTTGCACGCTGGTCCAAGCTCTTGACCTTTCCGGAGCCCAGGCTCACGCCCATCTCAACACCCCAGACCTCGCCCACTTCGGGCACACCATCGCCCTTGGTTCCCTCAGCGGGGGCGAGGACGATTTTCTTGGCACCCTCAATGTCGTTGCGGGCAAACAGCCAGGATGTGGTGCTCTCGACCAGCTTGGTGTCGTAGGCCTCGCAGACCTTCTCCAGAAGGCTGGTGATCTTGGCCTGGGTAGGGGCCTTTTGCGAAGCAGCCTTGGCCTTCTCCTCGTCGGTACCTTGAGCAAGCAGTCCAGGGGGAATCATGAGTCGCAGAAGAAGCTCATTGGCGTAATGCGTGGCGAGAATCAAATCGGCATTGCGTCCAGTGATAGGCTCAGCGGCCTTGTCCTTTTCGGTAGCGAGAACAGTGTTGCAGACAATGGATCCAAATCCGTCAATCTGAGCTCCAAGCTGGATCTTGATGGCTTCTCCCTCCTTGATCTCGGCTGAGGCCTCGCTCTCATCGGTTGTGAGAGGAGTGTAGGGGGTCACGTAAGAAGAAGGAGAGACAGTGGTCGGGTGGGAAAAGCCTTTTCGAAGCGCATCGTTAGCCATCAGACTGCATACTGGGCCTGGGAACACGCATGATGCGAACCTTTGGTGATCTTCTTTCCGCGGTAGACCTTGGCAATCTCCTCCTCAATCAGCTTGTCACCCTGCTGGCAGACATCGACGATCTTTGCACCAGGCACGCAGAGCTCAGACACGGCAGCCAGAACCTTTTCGGAGATCTGGGCAGCAGTCTTGTACTTGGTGAGAGTATCGGGGTTGTTGAGGGTGTAATCTGTTTGCAGTCATTAGCCGAGCTCCCATGTGTAGGCCAGGATAGGTGCCAGAGGCGGTGGTCGTGTGCAGCTGTTGCTGTCATTGCTCTAGGCGAGCTGGAGAGCTTGGTGCGTTTTTGGCGGGGTACCCAAATAGCAATAGAGGGGGAGCTTGGTTTCTCAAGGCACGCAGACACTGGACACTGGACAAGAAAATGGGCAGCTGGGAGTAAAAGCACGTACCGATCTCCTTGGTCTCCGACATGGTGGGCAATTGATGGAGCTCGAGGGCGGTTCCTGGGAGATTCTGGCTGGTGTTGTCGGAGCAAGCTTGCGGACGCTGTCGCAAAAAAAGCAAGAAGATTGGAAGAGTTCAAGGAAGCTGTGGTGTGCGCAGAGTGGATTTCCGAATGGGGGCTTGGAGGGGTTTATCCGTGCAAATGGACCAGTCGTTCACGGGGCCAGGTGGGCACTTTTGCATGCCAGTGCAGTCATACGACGGCCAGGGCGCTGCTCCAGGCCTGCGAGGGCGCTATTGTGTCTCTGCCGAGCTCGACGATTGGGCGGGTGAGGTGCCGGAGTGGGTTTTGCTCCAGCTCTGACGCACATCAACACAAGGTATGAGGCACTGACTAACCCAGCAAAAGACGACGGCCGCAAGCAGACAATAGGACGGGAATGCATTGGATTGGATGCTTCCGGGGGGGGAGTGCGGCTACCTAATTGGCGATATATACTTGTATACATCTGTATACCTTGAATGACCTACCTATTCTATTCTGATATACTCTGTAAATCTCAAGCAGATTGATGCGTTGCAACTCATACAAATGCAGAGGTAGTGAGTTGGTGCCGAGGCTGGCTCAAACGCGGTTACATCATTTTCGCTGCACATGTTTAGGGCATAAGACGCACGTCACAGTTTCTCATGGCGCCAGCAAAAACAGAGAAGCAGCATCAAGATGACCCCAGCCCCTTGTAGATTTGTCAATCCCCCCCCATTGGAATATTTACTTCATGTTTCTGTCGCCTCTCGGTTTTACCTTGGCCACTGTGATCTTGCTATGGCATTGCAATGGGTGTAGCTCAATGGCATTTAGACGACTACAGGGTATGTAAACAACAAGAAGCTCATACCGGTGGCCAGCCGCGGGATAATCAAGGTTTGTCAAGCTCTTGGTAGTGTTATGTAGCTTGGAGTTAAAATACATCCATTCTCGTATATGCACCCATCGTGCAGGGTAGCATAGCATTGGTGGGCGACATGATGAGGTAGTTATTGTATGTGGTAGTCGTTGCCCGGATTACATACTACTATTAGTAGTGAGTATCTACTCAACTACTCCATATATTCAGGCAGTATTACGAGATCAACTCTCTCACACGCTTTGTTTTGGATGGATAAAAACGGGTCAAGCGGCTGAACACCGGAATTTTTTGCCCAATTGGTGCTGTGAGTCGTCTTGGCCAGCGAGATCTTGGTGCGAGTACCTGTACCTGTTTAGTCGATCCAACTGCCTGAGGCTGGCTGGTCCTAGAGGCTGAGGTTCGAGTACCTGTACTTGAACATGAGTAATCCAAGCACCTGCATCGCAGTGCCTGTAGCGCGGTTGCACCTAGTACCAGATAGGTAGTTGTTCCCACTAGCATTAATTATCACCATTCGCGCTGCTGCGATTAGAATCTTGTCCACAAACCACCCAACGTCCAAGCCTCGTCTGACTTGCAACCGCCACGACGTCTCTCGGGTCGAAGCCAGCCTCCAATCCAGCGGCCCGACACCGGTGTTGCCACTGTAATTGCTACTGATACTGATACCTGTATCGATATCGATCCGCTGCGACTCGGCGGCGCCAGCGCTCGCGACAAAGACCAGCATCACGACCCGACAATGGCCGCGGTTCAGCCATCAATGCCGGCTCCGGCGACGGGCCCAGGATCGACGACGTCGGCCACGGCCTCTGACGATGCGAAAGATGCCGCCTCCAGGTCCGGGTCCTCGGACATGCCCGTGCGCACAAAGGAGTCCTTTGACCGGCTAATGGTTGAGCGCTACACGATGCGCGACTCCATCGCCGCGTCCGCCCTCAGCCAGCAGCTCAACCAGACCATGAAGTCATCGCACGAGATGCGCGAGATGATCAACGAGTATCGATCCGTCCGCAACGCATACCAACAGTGGTTTCCCCCCAGCAAGCTGTACGGCGAGGGCTACAATGGCTATGCCAATGGGTACACAGAGAACCACGGCCCCTCTCGAGTCGTGTATCCTTCCCAGAAACCTCGTCCCGGCCACCGGACTACGCCTCCCCTCAAATACAGTCGAAAGGATATGCTCAAGCAGGCCGAGCAGCACGAGGATCTGGTGCCCCTGAGGCTGGATGTTGAGTGGGACAAGATTAAGCTGCGCGACACCTTTACTTGGAACTTGCACGAGCGCCTCCTGGCCGTCGAGCTGTTTGCTGCACAGCTGGTCGAGGACATGGGCCTGAAGCCTCCGGCCTCACAGCCTGTATATGAACAGGTCGTCCTGCAGATGCGGGAGCAGCTCAACGACTTTTACCCTTTCGCATATTCCGAAGAAGATGCTTTGGACCCGGAACTCCCCTATTCGGCCTACAAGAACGACGAGATGCGTATTCTGGTCAAGCTCAACATCACAATTGGACAACACACCCTGGTGGATCAGTTCGAATGGGAAATCAACAACCCAAGCAACTCTCCCGAAGAGTTTGCCGCCGGCATGACTCGAGACCTCTCTCTGTCTGGGGAGTTTACCACGGCCATTGCCCACTGCATCCGCGAGCAATCACAGCTCTTCACAAAGAGTCTCTACAGCATTGGCCACCCATTCGATGGAAGGCCGGTCGAGGATTCGGACCTAGTGTCTGCTTTCTTGCAGACACCATTGCCGACTGTTTTCCGCCCGCAGCAACAGGCCAAGGAATACGCCCCCTATCTGTATGAGATGAGCGAAGCCGATCTAGAAAGAAACGAGACAGTCTTTTCCCGGGACCAGCGGCGGCAGAAGAGATCAATCAACAGGAGAGGTGGACCCCAGCTTCCCGACCTCAAGGACAGGCAGCGTACCATCCGCACTCTCATCGTATCGTCTGTGCTACCTGGAGCTGCGGCAAACATTGAGGAGAGCAGGCTGTACAAGAAGGTGGCTGGTCCTACTAGGAAGCGGGTGGCTCGAGATGGTGAGATATCCGAGTCTGAAGAAAGCGAAGACTCGGCGCCTGATTCTCCGGCGCCGTCAAATATGGCCGGCACGGCTCGCACCAGAAACATGCGCGGTGCCGCATCTGCCGCCCAGCAGAGAATGGCAAACCTGGGCCGGTCAGAAACGCCAGATATAGCCAGCCACCATCACGAAACCAGAACATCTCGCCGCTTCCGTGAAGAAACGGAAGACCGCACAGAATTGGTGGTGACGTTGAGAGTCAACAGGGAGAAGCTAAAGCGAATCATACGAGGCGACTACCGTGATCTGGCTACTTCCTCCGTGCCACCAGAAACCCCTTCTTCAACTTCCAATATACGAACACCGACCTTCACAGCCCCGCCAAAGCCTAAGGCGTTGACACCAGTCCCAACTCCGGCTCCAGCGGGATCTACGCCTCAACCAGCAGCGGCCGGCACCGGAGCCGTTCCTCCAGGACAGATAGGCCGCCTACCTGCGCCACCGCTCATTCCTGGCCAATCTCCTCCCCCAGCAGTAAGTCCCCCTTAAACCATCCGTCACCCTCTTGATGGGAGCCATCATAACTCATGCTTACACCTCCATCACTAGCCTCCGCCACCTGAATGGCTTGTGCAGTCATTAAAGGAGCTCGAGAAGCAGTATCCGAATGGCGACAGGTTTGAGGCCATAATGAAGTACTCACACCTTGACCCCGTCACGGAGCTGCCCATCCAGACACAGCCCATGCCAGAGGGCGTTAAGTATGCCTGGCTCCCGCGAATCCGTTGTCTGGACTGCACAACGAAGCTTTATACTCCTGGCCCGGATATGACGGCACAAAAGTTCGAGGCCCATCTTAGATTCTCTGGCCACCGCGAAAAAGTCAGAGCTAGGCTAGCACATCAAGGCGCTGGAGCATCTTCTTCAACGTCATGACCGGAGCTGGCGAGAGACCAGATGGCGGAGGAAGGGGGGTTTTAATGGATGCAGTAGAATTTTAAGGGCGTATATCTTGAATAGCGGCGCTTCATGATAAGTTCAGACAAAATACAAGATGAACTTTTTCTGGTTGGCAGATATATATTGCAAAGGAAAGACAAGGAGAAGAGAGGAAAATAGTATGCTGCGCTTTTTCGTTTTTTTGTATCAATGCCGTGTACTACAAGGTGGGCAACGGTGCTGGAAAGGCTCTTGTTATCTTGGAATCTAGGGCGGCGGGTCAATGAATACATTACCAAGACAACCCAAATTATAACTGCAAGGCACCTATTTATACGCGTGATTCGAGCTTTCTTTTGCATGATTGCTAACACCTCCGTTTGGTCAAATTGGATATATAACACTGAAAACCCCGGCTAGATCACACGACCTCCATGAGCGCCCGCCCTTTCAATTCCTTTTTTCAAAAGCCAATCATACATCATGACGAAGACGGAGCTGAGAGGAAAAAAAGAAGAAACACGAAGAAAACGCTTTCCCCGCCCCCAATGCTTGCTTGCTGGCGGGACTGAGATTTTCAAGAGCGAGGGAGAGAGACACAGACAGGGATGAACGATGAGACGAAAAACAAAGAATGATGGCGTAAACGCGACAAGGGACTAGAAAGGCCAATATGAACAATTTTCTTCTTAAAACAAAACAAAACAAAACACAGACAGACAAAGCAGGTAATAAATCAGATAAAACCAGTCAACCCAATCAGTCAAACATGTCCATCTCAAGAGCCCAAAGAGTATAAACGATTTCGTCTCCAAGCAAAACCCATTCCCTAGCATACACATTTCACTCGTCGTCATCATCATCTACGTCCATGTCCGAAGTCTCCTTAGGAGGCCGCCCACGGGTAGGACGCGTGGTTCGCTTCGCCTTGGCCTTGACGACCGGCGATTTCCCCTTACCCCTGGAGGCGGCCGTCTTCTTTCCGTTGCTTCTGGGCTGTTCGGGCTCTGATTCCTCGTCCTCTTCCTCAGCAGCCTCTTCTGCTTCGGCCTGAGGCTCGGCGCTTTCCGACTCGGAGCCATCATTGTCATCTTCGTTGCCGCTTTCCTCTTGCTCAGATGCATCCTCATTGTCGTCATCATCCTCGTTGCCATAATCCCACTCTGCCACTCCCTCCAACATTTCTTCTTCGTCCTCCTCATCCCCGCGCTCTGCATAGGTTGAGATGTTGTGAGCGCGGCCACTACGGCGTCGTTCACCCTCTGGCACAGAAGGAGCTGCTTTCTTGGCCTTGGGAGTCGCTTTGGGCTTTGCTAATTTCTTGCCGGGGGTCTTGGCTGTCTTCGCTTTTGGGCCTGGCTTTTCTCGGATAACAGTCTTCAACTGAGTTTTGGATCTCTTTGCTGGATGGTCTGATGATTCATGTATTGACTTTCGCTTCTGGAGAGCTGCGTTAGTAAACATTCAACAATTCTATGGACGGACAGCGCCATAGTCATACCTTCTTGCGGTCCATCGCCCGAATCAAGTCGTCCAGCTTCTCGTCCAATTCGTCCGGAATATACTGCTTCTTTGCAATATGCTGAGCAACCTCGCTGGATGGAAGAGCAGTATACAGCCCTGTAGGCAGACCAACTTTGCCTGGCCAAGCCTGGAAGCTCCAATTCTTTCTCTCTTGGAACCGGCGAACCAATGTCTGGGCGAGGTCACTCAACACATAAAGATTCTCGCTCTTCTCCGGGTCGACACCGTCACGAGTTTGCTTGACTCTCTCAGCATATTTGTAAATCAAGGATACATTCTGTTCGGTAGCAACTGCACCCAGATAGAAGAGGAAGTAATTTGCGAAATCGACCAAGTCAGCTGGATCTGCGCTATAGTCTGGATGATGAGCCAACAATGGGATAAGCCTTCCCATGAGAGCTTCCATGATTTGCTGCTCGTTTTCAGCATAGTATCGGGAGCGTGATCGAAGCCACGTCTCTACTCGATTCTTCAGATCCGGGAAAGGTTCAAATGCTGTGAGGAAGAGGATGGTAAGGAAACGTGCGCGCAGCTTTCCCCGTGTGAGATAGTTTTGCAGCTTATCCATAAACCGACGGCGCACCTGGAGCTCAGTGTCTTGAACAAGCTCCGCAAGCTTATTGAAGCTTGCAGGGTCAAACTGGTCATCATACTTCTTGATAGTGCAGAGTTTCAGAATCATAAGACCAGCCATCAATCTGAGACGCTTTTTGTGGTGTTTCGGTGTGTCCTTGATCTTGGAAAACTCGCCTTCCGAGACAACAAAGGTTTTAAGAAGCTTGAAGATGGGCTTGACACGTTCCTCCGCATCGGCATCTGTCGATGTAGCAAGAGCTTGGTTGACGAGGATTCGCATGGCAAGACATTTTGCTTGAAGCTCTTCATCCATGTCGGCGTCATCAACCCAGGACGGATCTTTCGGCCCGGCTTCGGTTCGTACCTCGCGTAAAATCTTCTTTATGGTCATGTCGTTGATTGCCTGGTCCGAATCTACGGTTACGGTCGGTGCTAAGCGCTCTAGCTGACTTATGGTGGCCAGTTTATTGAGGAAATGGGGCGCTTCGTACTTCCAGTTTGCCATCGCCTTACGCAGCAGGGTCGTGGCCGTCACTTTGCTCTTGTCGTCGTTTTTCGCAAGAAGCACGTTGATAGCGTACTTTGATGTTTTGATGGGAACGCCGTAGAGAGCATAATTCATAAGCGTCTGCGTGAAGCTCTTATCAAAGGTGATATCAGCCGGATATCTCTTAGCATAAGATGAATAGGCTTTGAGAATATCGACGATGGCAGCATCCTGGGACTTGCTGGCCTCTGTTGGCGCTTTCAGAATAAGCTCTTTCCGCAATTCCTCCGCATGGGCTTTGAAGATATCGGGATTCCGTTGAGATATGTCGTTGAGCACCTGATGCGCTACAGTAGCGAAACCGTTCTTATCACTCTTGGAGTAGTCCATGATGGTTGCTAGGTGGCTTCTGTTGAACATGAGACAGCTTGACCGATAGAGCAAGGGAATTAGCGTATCCAGAGAACCGGCGGCAGAGGTTGCTGAGATCTTCGTAATCAGCTCTGCAATGGCACGCCTCACGGTCTTGAAGTCACTTTCAGACTCAATCGCATACTTGACCAGTTGGTAGCTGCGACGCTCGTTGAGCTTGACAAACTTTTGAAGGTCGGCGCGAACCTTTAATGGGTCGGGGAAGTAGGCACCGAGCCATTGCATGGTTTTGGAGAGACCAGCCTTGACCTTTTCCTCATTCGCCTCAATGACACCGCCGTTGTACGCCTCACATTGCTGAATGAAGATCTCAACACCCTTGGCAAACTGAGGCTGGCGCGCCTGCATGGCGAAGAAAGCCTTCTGTGCCGCACCGTCGAGGGACTTGAGCATCAGTAGAATCCTTTCAGCTCGTATCTTATCCTGATCTGCCTGGCCAACCGCAGCTTTGCCTTGTGAGGATGCAGCTGCAGTTTTGGCCCCTTTACCCTTAATGAGAGGATATTTCAGGGGAATCAGACATTCGAACATGACACGGTCGAGAAGGACATTGAGGTCGGGATCATTGGCGTAGAAAGCATTGATAATGCGTGACGGAACGCCTGAGAGACAGGCGGTAACAGATTCCTGTCCGTCTGCAATCTCTCCAGCCCCGACTGCCCAAAGCTTGCCGAGCAGAACCATTGCTTCAACTCGCACGGCAGGTTTTCTGTCTCGACATCGGTCTGCCAGACTGGCAAAAACTGAGCCCTCTTTCTCAACACCACCAATGACGCCGAGTTTGAGGACAATGTCTCGAAACTCGAATAGCTCGATTGCCTTGACAGCTGCCAAACGAACCTTTTCTTCACTATCATTCAGCTTGTCAACCAGCGCCCTAACCAGCTCGCTCTCCTCTTGGCTGCTAAGCCCAATTCCACCGGCAGAAGTAGAAAGAATGTAACCAGCAGCAGTTACCCAAGCAGTCCGGATAGTTCCCGTCTTGTCGTTTTTCCTGCCGACAAAGTTGCGGTAAGTCGCCCCATGTGTTTGCGCGAAAGATTGCGGAGAATATGGCTTGGTGAGAACATTGGCTTCAGCTACTGCTGGACTATCATCCATCAGCTTGATTGGAGGGTATGCGGCAGGGTCAAGAACAGGAGGCGGCGGCGGGCCTGCGGCTCCAATACCGGATATCATATCACCGAATGTCTCTGTGGCTATGAGGCGCAAGTGCACGTTGTCGGCGGACAATTCGGCATCTAGCTGAGGAATGACGTTTTGAAGTACAGCAGGTGCTGCTCGCCAAAGTTCTCGGATAAGAAGATGAGCCTGGCGAAGGCTCTTTAGGTCGGCATCTGAGGGTCCTGCATGGCTATCTTCCTCATCCGAGTCATCTCCATGGCGGCCATTCCCTGCTGTTGCAAATCCGGAGGCATTGAGGATCACATCGCTGAAATACTGGCTAACATAGCGTGCCATTTTGTCGGCACATCCGTTGCAGATAGCCTTGGCCATGACATAGGCTGCTGGCTCTGTCTTGTGAAGAAGTGTCGATTGCTTGCCGTTTTGCTCCTTATTTCGGCTGCCACCGCCAGGGGGCGCTGCTCGCAAAAACTGGCTGATGATGGCGTCAATGACACTCACCGGGACGCTGCCAGGAGACTCGTCGATCAGCTGAATCAACATTTCCGTCAAGTGAATCTCGACATCTTTTGCAACCTGCTCCTCAGCTGGTGCCTTAGCGTTTGCAGAAACTCCATCAAAGGTTGAATTGAACAGACGCAACAACAGGTCGTCGGCTCCATGGATTTCCGGTAGTAGTAGAATGCTCTTGACATCAGTCAGAGACATGAGAACGTATTTGTGTTGGCTGTTGTAAGGGTTCGTGGGGTCTTGGAGGCTAGGCAGAATATCCTTGATGAATAGGCCAAACATCATCTATACAAGATCAATTAGCAAAGCAAGATGGAGAGGGCGTTGAAGCTTGGATTGGCCCACCTTGAGCTGGTCATCCGTGAACGGGGCATCTGGGACAAACAGCCGTAGGATATCCACCAAACAGCATGCAGTGTAGGCCTTGACTCCTCTATCCTTATGCTGCAACAGATTGCGATGCGACAGCTGGGCTGCAACATCCCTGAGAGAGCTCAGATCGACCTCGCCCTGCTCAAACTCTGCCAGCTCCTTGGACAGCTTCTCCAGGCGAGTCAGCAGAGTGCCGCTGGGGATTGGCTTCGCAGGCCGCCATGACAGCTCCTCGCCAAACTGGAGACTGCGATGCTCCCCTTCGTAGTCGCCTTCAGCTCCTTGCGACTCCGCCTCGGGCTCGTGCTCGGGCTCAGATTCCACCTCAGCAGCGTCCGAGTTTGGCTCTTGAAGCTCCTCCGGCGCGTGAGACTTTTCCTCCACTGGCGCGGGCGCCGACCTCTTCCTCGTGGACTGACGAACCATGATTGCGCGGGCACCAGGATGGCGATGCGTTGCTGTCGAAAGGCGGCGAACAAACTATCCCGAGGTCCGCTTGATTGGCTGGTCGCGAAGTCGTTCGTCTTGCTGCGCGCGGGTCACAGCATCGCACAGTTGGAACACGCTTGGTTTGGCGGAGAGAGGAGCAGCTGCCTAGCTCGAGAAGTCGACGACCGGTCTCGGCAGAATTTTTGGCTAAATTTTTATGCACCCTGGAATTGGCGTGAGAGGATGATGCATAAGATGGAGATGTCCGAAGCAACAAGTTTAGAGGGGAGCTCCAGTGCTGAGTTACGCGACGCGATGGGGGAAGATGTTCCGGAGTGGCCCCGCGTCCGCTAGCTGGGCAATTGCTGCGATAAGGGAGATACCTAAGTTTATGTGGGTTCCGCATACAAAGGGTAGGTATCCTTTTTTTTTTTTTTTTTTTTTTTTTTTGCGCAATGCTTTATTATTTTCTAATGCTACTTCGTACCTAAGTTTGGCATTGTTTATTATGCCCGCGGGTAAATTAATTACTGCCTAGTACTACCGGTTCATCACTTGACCGTGCCTGAAAGAACTTGAGCTTTGGGATAAATGACTGAGGCTGACTGAGTATTCAGACACAAGGACTCGTAAGGCTGAAATTTCGGCAATGGATGTAGAGTGCTGAGCATTCGAAGGCCCCTATTTTTTTTTTTTGGTCTCGCCATTGAGGAGCGCAAATACTCACTAATGTGAGTACGGCGCTGTGCAGCGTGATGCGAGTTTCAGCCATTTTTGGTTCGTGTCCTGCGTAGTTTCACATAGTAGCAATACTCCCGTTGGATACGAAATGCAACCCGACAGAGGTCTAAAGCTTTTTGCATCATCCGGTAACGGAGGCCAGAGATGGAAATGCCGTATTATTTGCTGCACGTGTGAGCAAGGAATAAAGCTCCTGATTCAACCACTCCGTTAAGAGGAGGTCGGAGAAGTAGAAAGTTATAGCTAGAAACTGGAAAACTAAGTCTACCTTGGCAACCGCCACGGCAATCGACATGGTGATATACTGGAATCCTTTGGTGAATCTGTGCTGAGCTCGTCCGACTAGACAATTCTACCTAGATATAGGTAAATCCTCAGGGACGCTAAACGCAGCACACCATGAGTTCTGACCTGGAGCGTTTCTACTCAATATAGTGACTGAAGCTTCTCGAGATTGGGGGCTCATTAATACATGTAATATTATCAGAGCAGATTATTGCTTTTACGGCACCAGTCCAAGCTATCTTTATGCAGTAAAGTGGTGTTGTATACAGGCACAACAATAATGATCCAATCAACCGAATATCCAAAGAACATTGCAAGCGTAAAACAAAGGAGTCAATAGCCTGAGAGAAAGCTTATGCGTTGTCCTTCTGACGATTGGATTATTTAGTAACTACTGCCTTTTGTCGATGACAAAAGAGGAATAATAACTATGCCTTACTATGTACCTTTATTCATAAGTTTTCAGGCTGCGTGCAATACCGTAAATAACAAACATACCCACCTAGTCTTTGGGATGAAATCCGCCTAACTATGAGTAAATACCTGGTATCAGCGGTCGTATTCACCAAAATACTGCCCGGATTTATTATAACTGGTACTTTTATAAGCTCGTACGTGTATCCGGTAAGATGCGGGTAGGCAGATCAAAGATCGATGTGAACGAGCCGTCAGAGACATCAATGAGGCGAAATAAAGCAGAAGCTGATAACAGCTTTCCAAGTGTACTGAATGAGTCTATGTAGATTGCTTTTCCCAAAGCCAAGTTTGGCAATATTACACTCTTGCCAATCAGTGTCAAATTTGTCTGATCCTCATTACTAGAATCCCGTGTTTGCAACAAATGCGTTTCCACCTGGCCAAGTCCATGGATGCGAAAACCTCACTACTCTTACCATGGTTTTTCGTATAATTGAGTGTCACCTCATGCATGTACCTACAAGTAGTACTCTGGCAATTTCTCTAATATTCCGTAGGCGAATAGTTGCCAGTTTGCCGGTCCGGCAACCAGCCTCCTCAAACTCCATCCACCAGCTGCCCAGATACATCACCCCTACAAACCCGAGGACGCGTACCTCGCGTTCTTCTTTATTTCTCGAAATTGTTTGCTGGGTGATTCACTGTAGCGGAGAAAAAAAACAAACGGTAGGGCTCGTACATGTAAACCCCTCTGCCTCTTCCCTCCCGCACTTCTTCCTTCTTCCTTCACCTGCACCCAACACACTCGTTCGTTTTCTGCCCACAACAGCATCCGATTCACTCACGCTCTCTCTTTTTATTATCGTGTTCTAGCATTCCCATTCTCTTCAAACCTTTTGAAGCTTCGCAGTCCATTCAGATCAGTATGAAACCCACCTCTCCGTCCCGTTGTGCCATCGTCACGCTTGTATCACCCCGAGCAGCTCTTCCCGACAAACTTCCCTCACCAGCCCGCTTCACACAAGTTCTTCGCTAATAAATAATTATAGTCTCGCTATTCTGGTCAGAGCATACCGCAACAGTGGTTCACAAGTAGGTCGCCTCGTCCCTCGTCTCTATCCAGGCAAAATTGACATTCCTTTGACAGTGGCCAACATGAAGGAAATGAAGGACTCTGAAAGCGGCGTTGCGCCCCAGCAGAAGATGAATGCTGTCCAAAAGATCAAGGAATATTTCCTCGATTTCAAGATCCTCACGGGCGCTGCTATGGCCCTTTGCCTGCTGTCTGCAGTTCTCGCGGTTACTCTCCTGGCCGCTCACTGTGGTATGATACTATCCCTTCTTGAAACGTAAAGCTGGATAATGCTGACTGATGAAGCTGGCCTAGAGAAACTCTACCAGTCTCAGGGAGGTTTTGCTGTTGCGGCTGGAGAGGCCCTTCCCATTGTCAATCAGAAGCTCGACCGTCGTGGTGTGGATTGCAACGAAACCGAACTCGTCATGTCTGGTGCCTCTGCTCAGGTTGTCACCTACATTCTTGATGATGGCTCCATCGCTGCGGTGACTCAGGAATCTGGACCCAACCCTACGGTTTCTGTCACCAGCATCCCAATCTCGTAAGTGATTACAAACGCCGCTTCTCTGAAAGAAAGCCTCTTCTAATACCTTTGATGCAGCACTCAAACGGCCACCTCTACCATTTACACCATCATCACTCCGTCCCAGCCGGCTGTTGTTACTGAAACTACAACCATGACCACGTCCATCCTCACTTCAGAGGCTCCAGTGTGCTCAGCCAACACCACAGTCACCGTGACCATAACCGTTGTGCCCACTCCCAACAACCCCTGGGCTTCCAGCTCGGTCCTCGGCGACGTTACCGTGACTGCTGGTGCATCGACAGTCACCAACATCAACACTGATATATCCTACACCAGTGGGCTTCCGGATGCCACCATCTCTGGGAACCCAATGACTGTGACCGACGTTGATGTTTCCGTCACCGGCCTGCCAGATGTGACTATCTCTGGAAACCCGTCCACTGTGACCAATGTCCTTACAGACATCTCTCTCACCAGCGGTCTTCCAGATGCGACTGTCTCTGGCAACCCATCGACCGTCACAGCAGTTCAGACCAGCTACTCTCAGCCCGTAGAACCCGTCACCTCCTTCGTCACAGTCGTCATCTCCGATCTCTGGAGTTCTACGGTAATCAGTTCCGCCACCCCGGATCTTGTGACTGTCACTGCTGTCTCCACCATCAAGACAACGGTCACCACCATCGGCGTTGCTCCCTCTCCCATCATCGTCACTGTCACAAACGCTTACTCCGAGCCCACAAAGAGTATCTCAACCGACTACGCCGACAGCTCCAAAGCTGGCGCTCAGACATCCCGTCAGAGCACTCTCACTGAGACCATCACTTCGCCGAGTAGCCAGCTAGCCACAACCACGACTACCGTCTTCATACCACCAGTCTTCTCCAGCTACAACGGCAGTGCGAGCAGCATCCCAGCTGGCACCGCAACAGGCGGCATTGTCCCCACCATCCCCGTTGTTGTTTCCAGCAGCAACAAGGGCATGGAGCCGCATAGCCACGCTCTTTGCTGCCTTATCGTGGTGATTGTGACTGGTATGTCTATGCTGTAAGAGCATCGGCATAGTAGGTTCTTATTGAGATAATCTTTGGACAATGCTCCATGATAGGATGGTTATATTTCAAAGGGTTGATTTGATTTGATTTCTTTCTTTTTTACGGCCTCTCTTTTTTAAATTACAGGCATCACAACGGAATCTTTTGCAGGGAACTGGATGAAATATGGCCGGCTGGCCAACGAATAGGGAACGAATGCTTTGTTATAAAAATCAGATGATTAGTAGTTACTTATAACTACGGAAGTCATGTTTTGGCAAATATGGCACCGTGTCAGAGTGATTCAATACGCACTCCGTAAACTATATGAAGCCCTGTATAGCTCTACTTGTAGACCCAAGGAGAAGTAATGCCTCTCTCACCATAAAAAAAAAAAAACTTGTCCAGACGCCTATATCCTCTCCAAACCAACTACTCCGATGACGCCGGTATCCCATATCTTATCCAGCTCAGCCGTCGGCGGTTTTGCTGATTCTTGTTATCGAAGCATACTGATAGACATATACATCTCCCCTCCCCTCAGCCAAGTCCACTGACTAGAAATATATCGAGTCCTTGCTCAGAATGTCCACACCTTTCAATGTTACATGTTAATCCCCTGTGAGTGCCGCTCTGATGATGTCATTATTGTTATTGAGTCTGCGTAGGGCTATTTTCGACAAGTGGATAATTCGTTGTAACTGCAAAAAGTTTCTTTGCAACTCTTCTCTGAGAAAGAAATCGTTGATTGCTCTGGCGCGCCGTGGATGTTTGAGTAGCGCCGTATCTTTATCGTGGTGGGCGCGGAGCTTCACGTGCTGCCCTGGCTTTCCAACTATCTCTGATGACTCCGGCGGCGTCATAGAGATCCTTTACCGAAACGCGGTCTTTGATACTCTCTAAGACGCTTGTGACTGTGCTTGTGTGGTTTGCCTCTTTTTTATCATCTCTGAAGCGGAGAAGACGCCATCTTCTCTGGTCGTCCTGGTTGCACTCCACAATGCGGTCATTCAAAGGGTCATTCAAGCTTTTCAATATTTCCCATTCCTCTTCGGTGATGAAAAGATCGTCAAACCGCTCGTATTTTTCCGGACCGTCACCTTTATAGACAAATAATTCTGCTTTAGGTACACTGTCATAATCGACAAACGGCTCAGTAATGCCTTCCTTGCGCTCCCATTCATCAGGCTCGACGGTCGGGAACGAAAGTTTAAGCCGCAAGTCAATAGTATTTTCTTCCGGGGGCTTCCATTTAAGAATATGGGGGTCAGTGCCGTGTTTGTAAGCCGTGTTCCGGCATGTGAAGATGAGGCCGTCGTTGCCATGCTTTAGGTTCGGTAGAATCTGTTTGAACATCATGTCGATACCATAACCCAGCTGGAAGGGTTTCATCTCCACAATAAACGGTTGATACTGCACTTCGTCAGGGAAATCCTTGAACAGCTTCTTATATGGCGTGTATAGCCGTTCTCGAAAATAAGCAAGCCTTTTATCAAGAGACCGGTCCATAAGCTTATTGCCATCCATCACAAGGCAGTCGAAGACGAGAAATCGAGCTTCCTTCTCTCCATTGGGCAGACTATCCCAGACTAGTTCGCCATCGACAAGTGTTGCCGTATGAAAAGCACTAACATCATTTTCACGGGGAAAGTGGAGGCTCTTGTTGGTGATGTACCAGTAATCGTTCTTGCGGTCAATCAAGTAATGGGCTTCGCCTTGGTTCTCGTCTTCGGTCAAGTAGAGGAGATAGCGAATTCCATCCGACTTTTCGCATATGTAGTAACTGATAATTGGGCACACATTAGCCGATATGCTTAGAAATTCTAGCAGTCTTTTTGATATTTGCCATACTCTTGCCTGGTCAGTTCATCCAGATGCTGTCTGGCAAAACTGACGGGTTGGGCACCAGGGAAGCTGGTTTGTTGTCTACCAAGCAATTCTGCAACTTCCCTGCGCATGGCATGTATGAGCTGCCCTTCGGCTTTGATGCCAGGCTCTTCAATGGACCCTATAGGCCCATCCGGTTTGTTGTTGGATTCCATTGCCCGCCCTCTCAACGTCTATCGACTAGCGCGTCGAATAACCTCTGTGTCGTCGTATAATATTGCTAGGAAGAGAGAAAGGGTGGAATATTAAATTAGAAATAATTGATTTTTATAATGCGAGCCTTGGCCTCATGGAGCATCCAAGCGAAGCGCATCTGAGGTCAGATGGCTCAAGAGCGTCGAGCTTGACGTAGTAATATGGAGGCAGCGAGTAGTAGGTTGAAGCTGGGAAGAGCTACAGCGCGCGCCGTCCTTTTATGAGCACCTCTGGAACCTTATCGATAAAGGGATGAGAAGTGGCCCGTTCTTACCTGTATCTAAGGTTATAAGCCGCCCACGTAATACTGCCGCCATTACATTGACGCCGCTACTAAGGCAAATGGTAAAATGTTGAATAGGAATAATTACCCTATTTATAGCAGTATACAATTGCTCGTATAAAGTGTGAGAGCTGATCCAGTAATGGATTATCCGTAGAGCGTACGAAGTGGGTATACCTGGGCCTTATCTCGGCTGATATGCGCGATCTCGCTCCCACGCCTTATGTGTGCAAAGAGGATGTTCACATCATCCGTATCGCAAATTTCAAGATGGCACACAAGTATTTCAATGTCTTTGACTGGTCTGAGAGAGAGCAACGATGTACGAGATGGGTGTGGAAAGAGGACGTGTCGTCAGGCGGTAGCATTGATCCGGTGACTGGTATATACCTTAGTAGTACTACAGTCCTAGCAGATGCTCTTTGAATACAAATCTCTATTTAACAGAATTAATGCTATCTAAATATAACGCGCCGTAACATAGTTTCACACATATATTATTCAGAGTAAATTAATACGATTCAGGTCGCTCTTGAACGCTGCTCAGAGCACCCCATAGTAATAATGAGACGGCAACATTTCAGATGACGAGTTCATTCCCCCAACCTTTCTTCATATTATTAGCAATAATCCCGTCATGAATAACCGCCTGGACACGCTAATTTTCATCTATTTTGTCGACCTCTGCCCGGGCCTCCTCCCACTGCTGCTTGCTCTTGCGCGCCCATTCAATCTGGCTCCTCGCATACGCCAACTGTAACAAATGTTAGTGTCAAAGTTACCCAGGATAGCAGTTGGCTGCACAGTAACTTTCGCTTCTGTTGCGGCTTACTTACCATATATCTTCGCAAATCATCTTCCTTATCCTTCTGGAACCGTTTCAAGTCATCGAGTACGCTTGCGCTGGCTTCCTTGACATCCCTCTCAGAAGCCACCTGGGCTTGCTCCAGCTGACCAATAGACTCGCGCGTCTTTCCAATTGTATCTCTGCGGGTTCGTTCAGGATCCACGTCTACGACTCCCTGAACTGCGTGACGGATTGGGCCAAAAATCTTGTTTGTTATGGAGTTTGTGCTGGGCATCTTTCTGTGGGTAATGCTCGCACTTCTCTCGGGAAGGCCTTGGCTTGCAGACGGAGGTACCGATGGGAAATCGCCGTGCGTGGGAGGGAAATCAGAATCTATGGATTCAGTGTCTTCCTGGCTCCCATCGCGGCGGTGCTGAGTGGGAGGTTCTCTAAGGCTTGCTGATCGTTTGGGCGGGGGTGAGATTTGCTGGCTGTTGGATAGGTATTGTTCGATGCGTCTCGCTTCTGCTTCACTGCGCTCCAGCTGGTCCAAAAGAGCCCTCTTCTTGTTGAGCTCATCGGTTGTCATGTCCTGTTGCACGCGCTTGAGAACTCTATATCGCAAGACGCTTCTGACTACTCCTGCAAACTGGGCATTTTCTCTCATTGGCTCTGCAAAGCTTGCTCCCAAAGTTCCTGAAAGCTCCTCAGTTGCAATATACGACGCGTCAGCGGCTTGGCCAATCCGCTCGATGGCAGGTCCTAGGGAGGGGGCTTGTTCCGAAAGGGCAAAAGCATTGTATCTTGATCCCAACTCGCACAGATCTGCCGCCAGTGATGACAAATGGCTGAGAGTTCGGCGGTTGACCTTTTCCATTGGGCCAGTCAGAAGCTGCTCCAGCTCCTTGATTGAGGCTTCATAAGATATAAAATAAGGGTCAAGCTCCAGCTCGCTGAGTTTAGATGCATCAGATGGGAAGCGTTCGATCGCATGAGCTGCGCCTTGAATGACAGAGGCACTCAGGTCTTGGCCGGTACCGGCCGAGGCCCTGAGCTTCGATGAGCTGGAGGGGATCGGAAGAAAGTTGTGCGCGGGGGTTGGATTCGCGGTGTCTAACGGAGGTGCCTTTAAAACGGATTTGGGAATGGAAGCAACGGGGTGGGCATGCAAAACTTCGCTCTACCATAATGTTAGCAACAGATGACACCACATATTTTTATGTCAGAAAGAAAGAGGGAACGCATTACCCAGCTTGAGTTTGGGTCGAGAAATCTCCACCAGACTCCATCTTCTCTCACTGCATCCATTCGACGGCAGCGGTTCAAAAACACCATCAGCATGCGCTTTCGTAAGTCAATAATCTGCTGATCCTGCTTTGCACTTGTGGGGTTCGCGGCATAGTCGGCCATGGTATGCTTTTCTGGAATGGGAGGGATGACAAGGGTCGGATGAAGACGAGTCAAAGCATCTCTGAGCGAGGCGAACTCAGAGTAGCGGCGGCGAACTTCTAGATCCTAGACATGATGGTTAGAAGAACATTTACACAGGACAAGCGGGCGCGACGCACCCCAGTTTTAATGGTATACACAATGTATCTCCCTCCGCTTTCCACGCTTTTGCCCGCATCTGTGATCATAATGGGCATGTTGGGGTTTTCATAGAGGATCTGCTCAATGCGGCTGTTGTATCCGCCCGGCTTCCGCCGTGGAGGAGTGTCCTCTCTCAGGACGTCATCATCGTCAATCTGCCCAACGCCATGGCTGAAGGGCGGACGAGGTGATTGAGCATCGTCGCTCCCAGTCGATGGGGTATGGGAAGCCTCGAAAACTCCATCTACAGCGTTCAGCTCATGTTAGTTTTGCCCTATTTCCCACCGCGCTCGGCCACAGACTCGTTCCTGAGCAGGCGACCCAGCAGCGCCCCGAGCGACGAGGTGCAATGGACTTACAGTCTCTGGAAGTCGGCGAGCTCGGGATTGCCGACGATGAGGTCTGCGAATCCCGGCGATCGAAGCTGGATCCGTAAGGGTTGTTGTCCTCGTCGTTCCACATGATGGCGGCGCTCTCGACACAGGTCTGTCTGGGTGCGGATACGGCCCTTTGGAGGATGCGCGGCTGAAGACAAACACCAGAAGTATGCTCTGGACGATCGTTGAGCTCTGGGGCAACTGTGGCGCGGGGCGGAGTCGGTTAAGCCGCAGTGACGTGGGGTCGAGATCAGGGTATGTGCAGGTAAAGCGCCTTGAGGGCCGTCGCCATTCTCTGGGAAACACAGTGGAAGAGGCTGGCAAGGGAGAGCATCCGAGGCTTGGACGGCGATTGCAGGCAGAAGCGGAGAGAGTCGTGCGAAGCTCCGGCAGTTTGTGAGGTTAAAAGAAGCCCTGCCACCTTGATGACGATACCGCGCGCACGGGCCACCTACATCACCAGGCACTGCGCGAACCTGTTCTTGGAAGTACCTCGCCTCGTACTTGTACCTTGCTGCTTCCCAGAGCTATCGCCAGGGCTGTCTTCCATTCTCGATGTTCCAGTCATGTTCCGCATTCAACCCTGCGGCAAATCCCTGCACCCACCCAAACGTGCAGATGCCGACTCTTCGTTTCCACTCTGGATTTTGCTGCTCATAAATCCCATCACGAAATGGATCTCTTTAGTAGGTGCCTAGTCCCTTCATATAAGTCAAGAATAAATACCTGGCGGAGAGTATTTAAGTCTGTAGTACTCCGTACCTAAGTCTGCTTTGTCTGTGTTGTTAGGTGCAGATCATTTGTTGGCACCACGTTTCAGTACCGTGTCGCAGATTGATGAGCATCTCCTCAGCGACGTTTGCATACACCTTTACATCACATTCCTTCAAACAACCATGGCAAACGACTGGTTAATTTATAGTAGAATCATATCGCTTATTTACTGCATTGACTGGTGTCTAGGAAGAGAAACTTCACTTCTGGCCATGTTAGTACCTGCACTATGCAAGATTATTCTTCGAGCTACCTGGAATAACCACTGTACCATCTTGCAAACTTGCAATAACAAGCCAATCCTCGTTGTATTTAATAGTCCTTGTACTCATGCCAACTTCAATGAGCTGCAATAGTGATTGTTAAATAACCCGACGCTCATATCACCCACGGAGAAGATGCTGCACTCCTCTCCTGATAAAAACAACATTAGGCCGGGTCATTCTCACCGAGAGACCACCTCATAGTCGTCACTATGGACCGTTGCGACATCACTCCGGATAGACTGCATGGAGTCACTAGAAGAGTTGAGATTGCATACGATAGATGATATTTCATCTTGCTCTTTGACTGGCCGTTCCAAGTCTCTTGCCTCCTTCTGGCTATCAACTTGCACTGCGCGATCTTCGAAACTCGGATATGAAGCCGACTGGCAGATGCCAATATTTGCTGCCTTTGAAGGCTCTGCAGGCTCCGGAGATGGAGAGCTTGCCACAGTAGATGCCGCTCCAACGGGTAGATTGAATGCCCTGTAGAACCGTTGCCACCATGTGGGATGATGTGTTGAAGACTCTTCATGCGAACGCTGGGCTTTTTCTTGGTGATGTCCTTGTGCTTTGGGGGGCTCAAACGCTATATCATCAGCAACCTTTGGTTGATGTGCTTCAGGTGGTCGAAGTGCTGCCGCTGGTAATGGAACATGAGAATTCATGACGCTGAGTGGCTGAGCTGGAAGGACCTGAGGCCCAGAGAAGATATAAATAGGGGCTTGTTGAGCAACTCCATACTGCAAAACGGGAATTTGCTGCACCACATGCGACACTGGTCTTGCAGGGCCTTTCAGATTGCGATGGTGGTGTCTGTTTCTTTGTCTGCGGTGAACATTGTGTGCGTCAGATTGTTTGCGGAAGATGCTCGCTCTCCCCATGTAATACATCCACACTATTGATAAGATGATGAAGACAACGACAATGGAGAATATGATGCCAAAATGTGTAGCTGAACTGAGGCAGTGCCATCCCAGGCAGGAATCGGATCGATGACGAAGGTAAGCATGCCCCTGTCCCTTGAAAATTGGCATAACCGCAACCGCAATGGAAGAGTAAGAACGTCAAAGTAACTGAGGATATCATCAGCTGTTTTCTAACGGTCGGTTTGGGTTCCTCTCGATATGGCATGCAGGCAGCACTGGAATGTAAACACGAGTGTTGGAGCGGATAATTGTAATGATTCCCTCAGCTCAAGAGAGAGAGAGAGAGAAGGAATCAAAGTGTCCAAGTTTTGGTATAATGATCAGATTGTTAGGCTATCGGCCCTTAGGCATCTTGCCCGAACAAACGTTTCCATCTGGCTGGCAGCTGGCAGCGCTTAGGACGACCTCTTCAAAGCAGCTCGTTGCGTGATGCTTTGGAATGACCAAGTACAACAGATAGTAGCATCACTCGACGTACTCGCAACTCAACACATTATATATTTCAGGGGAGCGGTTTTTCAGTATTCCAAGTAGACTATCCAACATCTCATGTCTCAAATTCAAAGCTACCTGGGTATCGATAGTAGCAGAAAATAGCGATAGTAGCAGAAAGTAGTGATAGTAGCAGATAGATACTCAAGGAACCGTGCATCTACTTGTGATGATAATAAACGATTTTTTTCTGTTTCTTGTTACGACATGTAGAACTCAAGCCTTTGTAGTCGCTAATCCAACGACATTAGCTAGGTACTTAGTTCAGGCAGTGACTTGGTCATCGTCCGTAATGACGCCCTTTGTAGTTTGAATAAGGGAATGAAGTTGAATTGTTCCAGAAATCGGCTCATCAGCATATTTAGGAGGTCCATATCAATTTGAGATTATGTCTGAGTATCTACGTCAGTACCCGTAGCAAGTGGTAGGCCAGTGGCTCGCTCAGGGGCTCTAAGTGAGGCTCTAACGTGCTTGTCTGGAGGACTCTCTCATAAGCTGCAAAGACCTTATGCTTTATGATAATATATACGTTCTTATCTGTTTCTATTAATGTTTTATCCTATTTAATTTTTTACAATGAATTAGATGATTTATGTTCGTCATCAAATCCTTTATACAAAGCTGCTTGTAGTGACTTGAAGTCTGCCTGGATCCGTTCAATGTCCAATCAGGCTGCGTCACGGAGCGCACGGACCACTCTCGACTTCCCTGAGCTATCCGTGGAATTTCTGGCTCGCCTCGTCGTGATCAATCCCAAGACTCGCGATATCAAGCCTTTGGGTATTCACTTGTTGATTCTCAGCCACACATTCATCCGCACTCGGCTGGCAGAAATTGCCATGATATAGAGAAAGCTGATGAACTTTTTGCCAGTCACCTCCGAGGCGCATCACTAGCTTGTCGGACGCGTTCCTGCGATTTCGCATTACCTCAAGCAGCCCCGATCTCCCCATTGGCATTGAATCGGATCTTCAGCCATGGCGGCTCTTCAAAATGGCGCGGCGAATGGCGCGGCAAACGGAGATGCCTTAAAGGCCCCTACCAGCATCCGATTCTCCGACATCCCCTCCGCCATCGATATCCCTGTCCAGGGCGACCAGGAAGACGAAGCGGTCGAAATCGATCTTGAGGATCTTGTTGATGATCCCACCGAGCTGTGTACCCTGTTCGAAAACGAGCATGCGGCGAAGACATACTGGATGACCGTCGCGTTGGCATATGCGAAGCAACGGAAAATCGACCACGCCATCGAGATGTTGATTCGAGGTGGCAACGCTATCCAGAGCGGCAACCCACGCGATAAGGTTAGCATGATCTGCTGTCTCTGCTGGATGTACTTGTGGAAAAGTCGAGAGGCCCCTCGTGTTGCGCCTGACGGTGTCCATGTGGCGGAAGCTAAGACGAAAGAGTACTATCTTCAACTTGCAACGTCATCCCTGAACGACGCTGCACGTCTCAACCCATCCTTCCCACCCATCTTTCTCGCTCGTGGAGTTTTGCTTCTGCTCAGAGCCTCGCTGCAGGGCCCATCAAAGACTGCTGGAGGCCTAGGGACAGAGAAGAGTGAACTGCTCAAGAACGCTGCCAAGGCCTTTGATGATGCTCTCCGAGTCTCTCAGGGCAAGAACATGCTGGCCCTGATGGGAAAGGCCCGCACCTTGTTCTCCATGCACAAGTACCCCGAGGCATTGGCTACATACCAAGACGTTCTTCAGAAGAGGCCTGACTTGGTGGATCCTGATCCTCGTATTGGCATTGGTTGCTGTTTCTGGCAACTTGGGTTCAAAGAGGATGCCAAAGTAGCCTGGGAGAGATGTCTGGAAATCAACCCTGACTCCAAGGTTCCCAATATTCTTCTTGGCCTCTACTATCTCGACGCTAGCGGTCACGTTCCGGTCAACAGCGACGAATTCCTCAAGCTTTATAAAACGGCCATGATCGAATACACTCAGAAATCATTCAAACTCGATAAAGAGGTCCCCATCACCTGCTCCACCTTTGCAGGCTACTTCCTCTCTCGAAAGGCGTGGGATAATGCAGATAAGCTGGCGCATAAAGCTATTCAATATACTGATGTCAATGCCGTTGCCAGTGACGGATGGTATCTGCTCGCGAGAAAAGCTCACTACAACGGCGATTTAGAGCGTGCTAGTGACTACTATCGTCGTGCTGACGATGCTCGCGGAGGTACCGAGACTGGTTATCTCCCAGCCAAATTTGGTGTTGCACAACTGTCCGTCATGAAGAATGACCTGGGAGAGGCCAAGCTGAGACTGGAAAAAATCATCCAGCAATCTAAAAACCACGAGGCTATGATTCTCCTAGGAACCATCTACGCAGAGGAAATATTCACTAGCCAGAACAGTGACAGTAAGGAGGATAGATCTGCGGAAATGAAGAAGGCAATCGCTCTGCTGGAAGGTGTTAGGAATTCTTGGAAGGACCCGAAGAAGGCTTTATCGCCTGACGCTTCCGTCCTCCTAAACCTGGCCCGGCTATATGAAACCGAGAACCCTGAGAAAGCCTTGCAGTGCTTGCAGCAGGTTGAGCAGCTCGAACTTGAGCAAATCCCGGAGTCAGAGCGGCCAACGGATGTGCCCGAGGCCGAAATTCAGGCGGCTCTTCGCAAGTTCCTTCCACCTCAGCTTCTGAACAACATTGGTTGCTTTCACTCTCAGGCAGAGAAGCACGATCTAGCTAGTGAGCTGTTCGAGGCGGCTCTGGGTGCGTGCATGAGAGCCGGCGAGAAGGATCCCACAATGGACACTGATGCCTTGGTGACGACCATTAGCTTCAACCTTGGCCGAAGCTATGAGGCCCGTGGGCTGACGGACAAGGCTGTTGAGGTGTATGAGGGCTTGCTCAACCGCCACGACGATTATACTGATGCCCGTACACGGCTTGCATACATAAAACTCAGAAAAAATCCCAACAAGGAAGGGCCCGACGCTGTGGCAAAGTTGTACCAGGAGAATACAGCCGATCTGGAAGTTCGAGCTCTCTACGGATGGTATCTTGGAAAAGTCCACTCCAGAAAGCGCCCTGCCAACATTACAGAAGATCACGAATTCCGCCATTACAAGCATACGCTGCAAAACTATGACAAGCATGATAGGTATGCCTTGGTCGGAATGGGTAATCTATACCTCCTGCAGGCAAGAGAAATGCGTCGTGAAACGGAGCAAGAGAAGCAGAAGAGAAGCGCGACGTATTGTAAAGCTGTTGAGTTTTTCGAGAAAGCTCTGTCACTCGACCCGAAGAATGCCTATGCCGCTCAGGGTATTGCAATTGCTCTTGTAGAGGACAAGAGGGATTACAAAACGGCCCTTACAATTTTCAACAAAGTTCGAGACACGGTCAAAGATTCTCACTTATACGTGAACTTGGGCCACATCTTTGCTGAGTTGAAGCAGTTCTCCAAGGCCATTGAGCACTACGAGATTGCTCTATCTAAAGATGGCAAATCAAATGACCCAGTTATTCTCTCATGTCTTGGCCGCACCTGGCTAAACCGAGGAAGAGCGGATCGAGACGTGGACTCTTACATCAAGGCCCTCGAATGTGCTAAAAAGGTAAGCATATCGCTTGGGTTTCTAGTCCCAATGTTTCTTACTAACAGGGATTCTCAGGCACTTGAGGTGGCTCCGGACCAAATTCATTATCAGTTCAACGTTGCCTTTGTTCAGATCCAGCTTGTGACAACGATTCAAGGCCTGCCCGAGAACAGACGGACTGCTGAGCAACTAGAAGAGGCATCCGAGGGTCTTGAAGCCGCCATTGAGTCGCTAGACAAGATTGCTGCTCATCCTCAAACGCCTTATCCCAAGCACGATGTCGAACAGCGTGCGAACATGGCTCGCAATACGCTCCGCAAGCAGCTTGAGAGAGCGCTCGGAAAGCAGAAAGAATGGGAGGAAAAGAATAAGGAAAAGATCTCGGCCGCAAAGGAACAGCGGGAGGCTGAGATGAAGAAGCGTGAAGAAGAGCGACAAGCCGTCCTAGAGAAAGAGCGAGAGCGGCAAGAGAAGATTAGGAAAGAACGCGAGGCCATTGCCGCGCGCGATAGGCTCCAAGCAGAACAAAGAGCTGAGGAGGAACGAGCACGACAAGAAGCGGAGATGACTACGGATGAAGAGACTGGTGAAAAGATCAAGCGAAAACGCAAGCCAGCACCGCGTGCCCCTGCTGGTGAGGGCAAGCCCAAGAGGTCATCGAAGAAGAAGAAGGCCGATGCCGATGAGGATGAGGGCTCCGAAGAAGAGAGCCACACCAAGAAGAGACGCCGCCTCACGAAGCGGGAGTCTTCCAAGTTCAAGTCTGCTGAAATCGTGGTTGATTCCGACGAAGAAGCCAACAACGATGACGATGACGATGCTCTGGAGCGTGCCGAGAGAAACTTGGACAGGGACGAGACGCCTCTCTCCGAAGCCGACGAAGATGCTGGTGATAGGATGAATGTCGACGACGAGGACGAGGGCCGCGGCGAGGGAGACGATGACGAGGATGTCGATGCTCCCCGAAGTCAGGCCAAGAGAAATCGTAGAGGCCGCGTGATCGCGGAGAGTGACGAGGAAGATGAGGATGCGGAGCCCAGTAGTGCCAAATTAGACGATGGCGCTGCGGTTGAGGATGAGGAATAATTATAACATAATCATCGGTCTTTTGCTTTTTTTTGAGAGAGAGAGGAGAGAAACGGGTTTTGGTGATAAGAAGGGCTGGGACACACAAGTTTGTACATGTACACTAGCTTCCCTCTGATAAATTGGGAATACGCACCCCAAAAAAAGGAAAATAGCGACTTTGGTTTTTAGATAGTCCGAGGAAGAATTAAACATGACTGCTTTTATAGATACACACCAAACACTAGTCATGTTTCATTAGTACCTAGGCATGCATGATGTATTCTATTCCAAAGTATCCTATTTTTCCTGCATTTCTACCCACTCGCCAAGGATGTTATACATGAACCCATTTTAACGTTTTGAGCCAGGGGTCTATTAGATCGCTCGCACCACAGAGTGCTTCCTCGAGAAAACTATGGGAAATGCACCTCTGCTAACTAAGGCACGGACGCCGCGCACAGCACCTTTTTGTTTAGAAAGCAAAGACTTGGTCCTCGAGCTTGCTGACGGGACGGGCCTTGGAGAAGCCGAGACTCTCGGTAGCCTTCTTCAGGCCGCTAATCATAGGAGGAGGGCCACAGAGCAGGATCTTGACATCGCTGGCGGGCTTGGGGAGCCATTTCTAAAAGTGCTGTCAGTACTAGCTCTAGTATCATCAACATCTGGGCAACATACAGTAATCATGTCAGCGGTAACGAAACCAACACCGCCGGTCCAGCCTTCCGGAGGCTTGTCGAGCACATAGTGAATGCGGATGTTGCTGTCCTCCTTGGCCAGGGCGTCGAGGTCCTCCCGGAGAAGAATGTCCTGGGCAGTGACGTTGGCAAAGATCAGGTCGACCTCGGTCTTGTCACCGGCAGCACGTCCACGAACAATGGCTCGGATAACCTGAAGCATGGGGGTGATGCCCGTACCTCCAGCAATCATACCGAAGTGGCGAACCATGTTAGGAGTATAGACGAAGGCACCCTTGGGGCCACGGACGCGAATGGTCTGGCCAACCTGGAGAGAGGCCATGTGCTTTGAGATGTTGCCCTGGGGGTAAGACTTGATCAAGAGGTCGACAAATCCGGGCTGGTGGTCGCCAGAGATGGGGGTATAAGATCGGACGATCTCCTTGACAGATCCATCAGGCTGAGGAAGATTGGCGCCAATGGAGATGTGCTGGCCGATGGGGAGACCAAGAATGCTCCGGGGAGAGGGCAGCTTGAATCGGTAGCTGAAGATTGTGGCTGTTAGATTTACCGGAACCGGGCAAAAGAAAATTTCAATGGGCGACTTACATAGCGACATTGTGGGAAATGATGGTCTTCTCCTGGAGCGGGAATTCCTGGAAGACATCCGGCTTCAACACCTTCTTGACCTCTGCAGGAAGGGCAATTAGTTAAATCCAAGCATATCCAAACATATGGTTGAGCCGGGTACTTACGGAAGCTGAGGTAGTTCCAGGCGCCGAGGGCAACCGCGACAAGAGCGGCATATGGAGTCCAGTCGACCTTGACAATGGCGGTGCCGACAACAAGAAGAGCGGCGGGGATGTAGATGTAGTCGATGTACTGGCGGGCAAAGGCGCCCTCTTCGACTTTGGCGGCCATGGTGGCGATGCGGAGAGCAAGAAGAGCAGCTCACAGCGTACGATATTTATCGTGCGAAGGTGGGACGATGCGGGACAATTGGCCAAGGAGGGGCACCGCAAGGCTGCTAGTGGTCAATTGACGATGGCCTAGAGGGCGATGAACGCGGCGATGAGGCTGCGGCCCGTTGCGAAGCTCCGCGACTGCTCTGAGACGCTTCCCGCCAGTTGGATCGCCTTGTTTGCTTGGACGTCGAGGAAAGACGAGGCTTGATAACACGTCCCGTGTAGGAAACTTTGGCGGTGACAAGGACAGGCTCGTTCTGCCGTTGAGCTGGCTGGACCCGTCCCCAACGAAAGATGGCCAATGACAGGTGCCGGCAGAACGAATGATCCGGGTCGGTGCATTTCGCTGCTGGCTGGCATTCTATTCACCGTCTTACATACATTATTATCGTGCGACTGTGTCATCCCATGCCTCGACAGGCCTCGGCCTCGACCTCGACCTCGACCTGGCAGGACTGGTTGGAGAGCAGATAAGATGGCAGACAAAGACGGTTAAACGAAAAAAAAAAAAAGAAAAATAGATGCATACGTCATGCCACCATCCGGTACATATACAACGGGTCCGGCAGAGTAACCTGTTGGGCGCTTACTTGGTACGGGACGCAGCACAGAAGCAAGGAAAGGCAAAAGGCCGTCTCGTCTCGTCTTGTCTCGTCACGCACTAGCACAGCGTGCATTCTGCAACCTGTCCTCGTATATTGCTGCGGCATAAGTTGTGTTGCGGTGGACTGTCCCTAATCAGGGAAGTTGTGCATTGTGAAGAAGCACCATTTCGGCAGCTGACGTCCGGGCATACGAGATGCACGGAGCAACACGGCACCGCAGGCTCTAGAAATCCCGTAATCGTATTCCACGGCCCTAATGACCCAAAGCTTACCAACCTCCGGCATGCGCTACCAGACTAGACAGACTCAAGACAACTTGGATTTGGACGAGCAGTTTGGGACCATGAGAATGACCGTACCGGGTAGGTAGGTTAGGTCCTTATATCACGGGGAGATTTGCAGATGACATACGGAGCACGGAGTATTACTGCATGCTACCTGCCCAGTCAACCAGTGTTGGAGACGCTAGAAAATCAGAAATTGGAGGGACTGTGGTGATCATTGCGTGTAATCTTTGGAGCCCCTGGCCAGCCTCCTCACACCAGCTCTCGCACCCCGGTCAATGAGGCGTTACGGCTCCGCCGCAGGTGCATAAGGTATGCCACAACATCTTCAATGAGATAAAAGATGTGTAACAGTGATGAAAGGCCAGCAATATAGGAGAAGAGGAAATGGAAACCCCATACATGGAGTAGGCCAGATCGGGTATTGATCTGGACGAGGCGAGGATAGCAAGAAGGCAAAGATGACCCCCCCATGATAGAGCCATCCGGACGGACAAAGCATTAGCCGCCCTCGCCTTCGTGAGCTGGACAAGTCTTTTGAGACGGAAAGACAGACAGACGGACAGACGGACAGACAGATATGAAATGGGCATGACGAAAGCTTGGTGGAGGGAATACGGGGCCCTGCAGTCTTAGCCGCAGCGCGAATCTAAATCCGCGGGACTAAATCATCTCATGCCGCAGGCGATTGGCCTTGGGCGAACCTCATAGGCTAGCGAGTGTTGAGCGCAGGCTGGCCAGACGTCAATTGACTTTGCGCGCCGAGATCGAGATTCCAGCTTCCAGAGGCATGACGCTGTTTTGTGAATCCGCAAAAACATGACATGCGTCGCGGACGGACGGGGTCCCCGTCCAGCACCCTTGGATGGTACCAAATACGCGGTTTCAAACTCGAGAGGGGCCCATTGTCCATTTTGCGGCCCCGTGTGGCGGATGCTTGGCTGGTCTCGTCATCCAGCTGCTGAACCTGGCCAGTGAATTGAGGAGCTCATGGAGATATCACACGCCTGTCTCCCTGTGCGGCACACCTTCGTATTTCCTCTCTTCTCCCATTTTCCCACCTTATCTTCCTTTCTAGCCCCTCTGCAGCCCCTCTGCCTTTTTTTCGAGTGATTTTCTTCTTCTATTCTTCTTCGTCGTGTGACAACGGGCCAGACCGCTGGACGGACACCTGGCCGCGCAGTCACTAAGCAGAGCGCTTCGATTTGTCAAACTGCCACGAGTTCAGTCGAGCCGAAGACGGCCAACAGCGACGTATCTTCGGCTATTGTCCTTTCTGTAGCTGCATGTGATATATACAGCACAGGCACCTCTATTACGGAGCGGAGTTTATCGCGTGCGTTTGTGGGCGAGCTGCCCGGATTTGAGCTGTGCAGCTGAAGCGAGGAGAAAAAAAAAAAAAAAAACGCTTGCGGACGCTCATGTCGATCTCACTTACTCATAGATGAAACCATAACTAAAAGGCCTTGTCAACCCTGAGCACCCGCCTGCAACCACCGCTGTCCTGGCGCCTAAAAATACACATTGATCCGCACGTCGAATTCCATCAAATCGCATCTACGGAAGACTGCAGAATACTTCTCCTTTCCCAGAGTCGCCGAAGCCACCCCCTGTACTAAGTGTCGGCCTTCCCTCCACAGCCCAGCCATTTACGACTCGCGTCTCCCTAGCGATTTCCTACCGCCTATTCGCGCCTGGGAAGTGCATCCCGCGCTGACTCCTGAGCGACTCAGGCGTTTGCCCTGGTGTCCAAAAAAAAAAAAATAGACCATCAAGACATTGAATTTGCTTGAACGCGTTTCTGAAGTGACCTGGAAAAGAAAAGAACGGAAAAGACGGAAAAGACGGAAAAGCAAGGACGATAAAAGAAGCGCATGTCATTTGTCTCGCCGGTTTGCCCGACGATTTCGCCAGCTATCACCAGTGGGCTGAGACATCGGATCACAGCCGGTGGGTTGCAGCGCGCCATTCTCTAAGCCTTCGAAGCGGTCGAATCCTCGTCACGACGTTCAGATTTTCCAAGGCCTCAGGACCTGACTCCATCTGCTCCATTTTTGCCTCCCCCATGATCGGCATGTCCAGCTGAGATCTCCTGAGAACCCGCGCCTCAGCTTCGCTTCGAGGATTCCAGTCTAGCCGCCATAATGAAGCCTACGAAGAGCTCCGAGAAATGGAAATGGAGGTCGTCGGTTGCAAGCACGACGGCATCGCTATCTCCATTCCATAATGCCCATTCCCAAGTGGAATCGCCTGAGCTTGTTGAGAGCAAAAAGTCCCGTACATTGTCCAAAGCCTTCCGCTCGATTAGTAGCTCCTCGTTAGATTCGATGTCTAGTGGACCATCTAGGTCTGGATCCTCACAACGGAAACTCTCCAAGACGCCATCGGGCTCGGGATCCATGATTGAAAGGCTGCAGAGGAGGGTTTCCAGAGACTCTTCCGTCAGCACTCTTCCCCCAGAATCTCCCAGCAGCCCTATAGAGCCTCACTTTGCCTCGATGGAAATGATTCGATATGGGTGGCTAAAGGCCGATTCTTCACTGTTAAAAGCTCGATCCGAATATCTCGTCCTGGCAGATCATTCACTGGTCAAGTTTGGAAGCGCGGAAGCTGCTAGGGCTATCTTCCCGCAGCTGACACAGACAGAAGGTCACGGAAGAGGCGTTCACTCTCTTCATTCCATAAGCAGCAAATCTGCCTCGGGAGAGATTCGATTGGACATACCCCTTCGGTCCATCATTGCGGTTTTCAATGAAGAATCCTCAAGCTCTCGGTTTGGTATCGAGATATGGTGGCTCTCAAGAGCGCCCAAGATTGCGTCTTGCAAGGCACATTTCTACTTCGCCCTTCCGAAAGAAAGGGACGATTGGCTAGCGGATATTCAGCAAGCGTATAAGGCCCGGTTGAGAAAAAACCCTCTCCAAACGACTGTCCCCGAAAATGTCAAGGTCCGCATCAACCACACAATGCACCCTGCTGAGACATCTGATGATGGCGCTTCCCAGAGCTTGATTTTCCCAGTGGCAAAACGTGTTGTAGCAGCAGTTCAGAAAGGTGCCGCTGCAGACGAATCCCAGGATGTCATCGATACCGCAACGTATTATCTTGCCATTGGGCCTTACCTATGTTATTTTATTGAAATCCTTAAGGCTGATCATTCGACCCCTCCCGGTGACCTGCGATTGAAAACCTCGGCGTTTGGGACGGTATCTTTGATCCGTTTCCAAGCCTCAGTAGCGTCTAATGAACAAAGGTTTACAATGTGCTTTCGGTAAGTGAAATCCAGGCCGATCCTTGCCGGACTAGTTGATGTAACATTTCATAACTAACATCAATAGCCTGCCATTCGGTCGAGAAACTCGTCTGGTCCTTGCGAGTGTGCATTATCGCCGGGTCATTGAGGCTCTGACAAAGATTGACCGCGTTTTAAAACCCATGTGGCCACAAAATCTCCAACATGCTATTTTCGAGATCAAAGGTCTCCCAGCACCCCTTCAGTTGACATCCGGAAATGATTTGGGTGGCCTGGAGATGAGCCTCCAAGCTTATTGCGTTGCTTTCGGCGTACAAATCCCATCTTGGTCAATCGAATGGTATACCCCATCAGAGCCGGCTTTTCGGCTGATGGCGCCCGATGATTCAGAGTATTCTCCACTTCAGCTCCTTGCAGTCTTTCGGGCATTGAGATACAACAGCTTCTTCAAGGCATTATCATTTCGTGATGTTGATCTTTCATCGCTGGCTAACAGGAATGACTATTCGCAGTTTGGTGACTCTGTGGTCTACACATCTTTAAGCGGTATTTGCACCCCAACTTTGAATCATCCCCTAATCATTTACTGATAAAGGCTCTAGGTGTAAGAATACCAGATGACTACTATCAGATTCTCCTTCAGGCGCCAATTCTAGAACAAGAGATGCATGCGTTGATATTTTCATCCGAATCTATACGGTATATTGATCTTACCAATACCGTTGGCTTACAACGCCCAAAGAGACCGCAGACTGGTCGTGGGTCGATTAACCAATCCGCCATGCGCAAGATGAGCGCTGAGATTATTCGACCCTTGTCAATGCTACTCAAGACTCAACTGTCCCACTGCCATGGCATTTCCATGTCTGGCAACCCTATTGGCTCCAGCGACGTGGCCGAATTAGGTATGCGCACCAGAGAAGAAGAAAAGCAAAGCTCAATTGGATTTGAACGTAGTCGTTGACTCTTACTCTAGCAAATGTCCTTGGACTGGATGATGTACACATGAAGAAAATCGAACTGTCCAATTGCGGACTCGGGGACGTTGACCTGACCAAGCTCTGGAGTGGTCTTGCAGGCCAAGCCGAGACTATCGAATGTATCGACACGTCGAACAACAGCGGGACTGTTGGCTTTGAAACAATCACATACACACTCCGGCAACTACGGAATATCAAGAAACTCAACATATCGGGCAATACTAGACTCGTCTCAGAAGAACCTCTCTTCGCCGAGCGTGCGCTTAATAGCTGGGCTCTCCAAGAACTAGATCTCTCTGGGATAGTGGTACGTACATGAGGCCAAACAGTTACGGTTCCGGCAGTTAACTAACAACTACAGCTTAACGCTACTACCGTCATTTCTCTCGCAAGATATATGGAGTCTCCAATGTCGCAAGACCTACAGGTGATCCGCCTTAACAATTGCGGCCTCACTGGGAGTCAAGTTGCCCAGCTCTTTTTTAGTATGGGCAAAGCCCGGCACATGACAGTTCATCTAAATGCAAACCGACTAGACGATGGCATCGAGAGTTTGTGTGATGCAATTGCCTCTGGCTACGGACCTTGGAGTTTGTTCATGCAGATGATCGAGTTTAGCTATGAGATAAGCTTTGTCAAGCTGATGCGAGCATTGACCATCAACAAGACAATTGAGTGCCTGAGCTTGGCTGGCTGTGCTACGCCAGACGCTGTGAGCAGTGTGGCTTGCCAGGCAGCTTCAGAGCTCTTCGCCAAGAACGAAACCATCCGTTTCTTGGATATATCCGGATATGACTCTAAGCTCGATGAAGGCCGGCTCGGCCGGGAGTTTTCCAAGTCATTAAGTGGCATGAAGCACAACAAGCGAATTGAACACCTTCGTGTCCGAAGCCAGATGCTCAACATAAACATTGGGGACTTGGCTGAAGCCATCTCGGGCAACCAAACGCTACACACTCTGGACTGCGAGGGCAATGATTTCAACCTCTCCAACTTCTGGCATCTGGTGAAGCGTATCGAGGGCAACACGACAATTCGGCACTTCTCGGCATTCTCGGACGCAGAACTTGCGAGGACAATCCAGAAGTCCGCAGAAGTTGATGTGCCGGTGGTGGCAGCACGCCGCTCCTCTGGGCTCTTTAACAAACTCAAACCTGAAAAGGCTCCGGTAAATGTGGAAAAGCCACTTCTGCAGCGGCTGGGTGATGAGTGGGATGCTGCAATTGCGGCGCTGAATGCGGTGCTCGAAAGGAACCAAAAGACTTACAATGAAAAGCATGGCATTGGGAAGACGGTGGTCGACCCGGCACTGGAAACGTGCGAGATAGAAGAGGGCACATTCTCAGTTGACTTTGGGGGCCTTGCCAGCAAAGAATTCGAGTCTCAAATGGCTAGAGGCTCCTCCTTGCGCCGGGGCCCCTCCACTTCGAACCACGGCTCGGAAACGTTAAAGGTTATCGTATCGGCGCCTTACTCGGGTGAAACTTCCGACGAGACGACGATGCGGCCTTACTCCATTGTTTCAAGCGACGCGGCTAGTATCCCAACGACGGACGCCAGTTCCAACAGTGATGCAGGCATGCTGACACCCTCGGAGATGGAGAGCCCCCCTGAGAAAGAGCCCGGGTGGACCGGCGCTTCAGCTGCCAAAGAGACGAGCAACCCGGTGTCCGAAGATAGTTTTCTGATTTCCGATAACGAAATAAGTTTGCTGATGGGGAAATATCAGAGCTATGTCGGCGATCCGGTGGGCTCCATTGAAGAAGAGACAAGGCCATTGACAAGAGAAGACTGAAAAGGGGCCACCCCGGCATTTGTACAAATTTGCGAGAAACACGGCTCTTCCAAGTGTGCAGGGGAAAGGGGGATTGACTAGGGTGAAGGAGATGAGAAGGCAGGGAGCCAGCAGTGTGCCCAGATCTGGGATTTTTTTTTTTTTTTTTAATTTTTATATTGGCATGTCATTTGGATTGCTTGCTTGCTTGCTTGCTTGCTCGCTCGCTCGATGGATGGATTGGTTTGATACCCATTGCTTATAGTCATTTTTAGTCCCAAGCAGACTATGAAATATAGAACCAGGAAGCTTCAAAGTTTTTTTTTCAAGTTTATATCCGTATCTTAATATTATTGATTTATGTCACCTCGATGCTCTGGTAGGTATCATGCCATACAGCAGCCTCGGGTGGGTAAAGTCCAACAAGTTCCATTTCATTCATCTCAAAGTTGTCCATGTGGAATCCTTGGAGCATTTTATGCATGTTGCGAGTCGTATGCAGGAAACCCGGGTGGAGTGCAGCCACAGCAAGCCGTGGGGCAATTCCTTGCCGCTGAGCCACGCAATTTGCCCAGCCCCAGCCGCAGCTCCTCTTCTGCAGGCACTCCTCGCAACTGGAACCTGTAGAATCGCCTATAAGCAACGTTAGCATCGTTTCTTTGGGGGCGTTGGCGCGAGCTTCGTCATCACTTTCGAGTCCTTGAGCCAGCTTCCTTTGTCTGCGTCTGACGCCTGATTTCTTGCTTTGGGGCTCAATTCTGCCCTTGTTCCATTCACTTGTGCTTCGCTCTCTCACTCACTCACTCACTCTCTCCTTGCCCTGCCTGCGTCTCGTCGAGCTGCGGAGCTCTCGCGCTCCTCGTTTGAACCTCCTGAGGCAACAGATCCGACGACATCCGAGCGTCCCACGGCCTCGCGATGTATTCCAACTCGAACGCCTTCTTGGGAGGCAACAACCCTCGCCCGGGGACTGGGCAGCAGCAGTATGGCGGCTCCTTTAACAATCTCGCGCCTGGCCAGCAGCCGGGTCAACAGCCGGGCCCCTTTGCGCCGCAGCCCACGGGCTTCGGACAGCAGCCATTGCAGCAACAATACACCGGATATCCGTTGCAGGCCCAGCCGACGGGATACCAGCCGATGCAGCAGCCATTGCAGCAGCAGTATACCGGGTTTCCGGGACAGGCTCAGCCGCAGCAGTTCCAGACGTCGAGCGCCCCGCCAATGCCGTCGATTCCTCTCCAGTTCCAGCAGCAGTTTCAACAGCAGCAGCAACAGCAGCCGCCTCAAATTCAGCAGCAGCAGCAACCGCAGCAGACGGGATTTCCGGCCGTACCGCCGCCTCAGCAGCAGTCTAGCTCGACAATCTCCCCTCCTCCTCCTCCGATAAAGCCGCAGCCGACTGGGTTCGCTGAAGTAGCTGCGTCTTTCCAAACCGGAGGCACGGCCAAACCTCAGGGACGAAGAGGCGAAAAGTCACAGAGCAAGATCCCCAACATTAGGCTGTCTTTCATCACTGCCGCGGATCAAGCAAAGTTCGAAACGCTCTTCAAGTCCGCCGTGGGAGATGGCTCAGCGACAATGTCAGGAGAAAAGGCCAGGGACCTTTTGATACGGTCCAAGTTGGATGGTGATTCTCTGTCGCATATCTGGTAAGGATATAACGTACATCTTCTCTCTACTGCTCGCAAAGAGACTAACAAAGAGCCATGTAGGACCTTGGCGGATACCACGCGAGCGGGACAGCTCTACTTTCCCGAATTCGCCCTCGCCATGTACCTTTGCAACCTGAAGCTTACGGGCAAGACACTGCCACCAACTTTACCCGACCATGTCAAAAACGAGGTGTCCAGCATGGTCGACATCATCGGCTTTAGCGTTGCTGATGAAGGTCCTTCTACGAGCCAAGCGAGCAATGTGCCGACTATTGAGCAGCCGAAACCGCAGCCACCACCACCGTCAAACTCCCAGCTTCTCCAAGCGCAGATGACGGGCTTTCCTGGAGCGCAGCAGGCGCAACAGCAAGGTTTCGGGCAGTCTCAAGGTCTCCAGCCTCAGCCGACCGGCTTCTCCAACTTACAAAACCCCCAGCCAACGGGATTCAATGGGCCTCTTCCTCCATTGCCACCTATGCCTACCGGATATGGTCCTAGTGGTGGTATGGTAGCGCCGTTGAATGCTCAACCTACAGGAGTGCCAGGTCAATGGGGTCTTGTCAATGCCCCTGAATCTGGGTTGCCCAACATTGATGCCCTGCAGGCTCGCATGATGCCTCAGGCGGGCCGTGAGGGTGGTTCTTATACCACCGCTGGCCTTCAGGGCAATGCTGTTATTCCTTGGGCCATTACCAAGGAAGAGAAGACCAGATACGATGCCTTGTTTAAAGCTTGGGATGGTCTTCGAAAGGGCTATATTGGTGGCGACACGGCCATTGAGATCTTCGGCCAAAGTGGTCTCGAGAAGCCTGACTTGGAGAGAGTCTGGACGCTGGCTGACCATGGCAACAAGGGCCGCCTAAACCTGGATGAATTTGCTGTTGCTATGCATTTGATTTACAGAAAGCTAAACGGATACCCTATGCCCAACGTGCTGCCTCCCGAGCTTGTCCCACCCTCTACTCGCAACTTCAGCCAGTCCATCGGCACCCTCAAGTCCATGTTGCATGAAGAGTCCGACTTTCGCAAGAACTCTGGTGCTGCCCTGCTCCCTCAAAAGACTGGCGTTAGCTATATGAAGAACCGATCATTCCGAGGCGGCCCTAGCCCGGCTGCCGGCGGACGCAAGGATGCCACAGTGTTCAGAAACGACGACGAGGAATTCGGGTACAGGTCTAGTGCTCGCCGAAGGCTAGGGGGCGCCTCCCCCCGAGCCGAATCTCCAGCCGCATCTTCTGTCGGCTCCAACGATGATTTGACTCTGGATGAGCTGAGGAAGAAGATTAAGGAGAAGCAGATCTTGCTCGACGCTATGGACTTTGCTGATGAGAAGAACAACGAAGAAGACGACATCTTGGACCGACGCGATCGCCGTGAAGCAGAGGAGCTCTACCGTCGCATTCGACGTATCCAGGATGATATTGATGCACACCCAGATGCTGCGCTAGCCGTTGGTAACTCGGACGCCGAGACGAGAGCTCTGAAACGCCAGCTCCAGAACCTCACGGACAAGGTCCCCCAACTTGCTTCTCAGGTGCGAAAGGCAGAAAAGGCCATCATGGAAGCAAGACTTGAGCTTTTCCGTCTCAAGGATGCCAAGGCTCACCCTGGCAGCGCGTCATCCATCGTCGGAACTGGTCCTGGCGGAGCAGTGACGGAATCGGACCGGCTCAAGGCTCGAGCAAAGGCCATGATGCAACAAAGAACTGCTGCTCTGACAGGCAAGAAGATTGAAACCACCTCTGAAGACTTTGACGCCCCCAAGAGGCTCGAGGAAGAGACCATCCGGGTTAAGAATGAAAAGGAGAGCAATGAGCGCATGGTCCGCGATGTTGAGGAAAGCGTCCGCGAATTCTCGCGCAGCATCGAGGACAATCTCAACGATACTGGAAAGGACAACAGCAGTGAGCATGAGAGACGTCGCTGGGAAGACGCTCTTGGTGTTGAGGATGAGGTTCGCGACTTCATCTTTGATCTCCAGCGTGAGAGTCGTGCAGCCCGCGTCCGAGCCCAGGATAAGCGCTCTGCACGGCCTTCAGCAGCAACTGAGGCTCCTCGGGAAAGAGCTGCTGCGGCTCCTCAGCAGAGTGAAAGCCCCGCCCCAGCTTCGCGTACTGCCACTCCTTCTTCCACAGCAGGAGGTGGTTCATACTCTTCGTACAAGACGCCCGAGGAGCGCGCTGCCTTTATCAAGCAGCAGGCTGAACAGCGGATGGCTGAGCGTCTCGCGGCGCTGGGTATCAAGGCACCAACCAAGACGGGAGAAACGGCTGCTCAGCGTATTGAGCGCGAAAGAAGCGAAAGGGCTGCCAAGTTGCGCCAGGCTGAGGAGGAGGATGCCCGCCGAGAGGCCGAGCGACAGGCTCGTCTTGCTGAGGAACAGGGAATTCCACCTCCAGCCGCGGAAGAGCCGCAATCAGCGGCTAAGAAGCCTCCGCCACCCCCATCAAGAAAGGGAACGAAACCTGACAACGCAGATCGAGATGCGGCTAGAAAGGCGGAAGAAGAGGCAGCCAAGGCCGCTGAAGAGGAGCGCCTTGCTCGGGAGCATGAGCAACAACAGAGGGAGGCTGAACAAATGAGGTATGTCTTTTACGCATTCTCTTGCCCCTTTTTTGTAAGTGATGGATCGCTAACTATTCTTACTGTAGGCAAAAAGTAGAGGAGGAGGAAGACGAATTTGCCAGGGAGCAACGGGAAGCTGCGGAACGGCTCAAGGCTCTGGAGGAACAGGTCCGACAAGGAAAGCTACGAAAAGAAGAGGAGAAGAAAAAGAAGAAGGCAGCTGCGGCAGAAGCCAAGGAAAAGGAGGCTAAGCTGGTTGCTCGTCGTGCGGAGATGGAGGCTGCTAAACAGCGTGAGCTTGAGCTACAGCGCCAACTCGAGGCCATGAACGAGGACAGCTCGTCATCCGATGAAGATGAAGGCCAGGAGCAGGCTACACCGCAGGCATCGACTCCCTCGCCTGAGCAGAGAGTGAGCTCGCCACCTGCTGCCGCGGCCGCTGCGCCTTCGGCAGTCTCTCCGCCGCCCGTTCCCACGGTGGTGACCTCTCCCCCTGCTGAGACGGAGAGCAAGAACCCTTACTTTAAGATGATGTCGCAGTCGTCAGAAGCATCCTCCCCAGCTGCACCAAAGGAAGCGGCAGCAGCCGCAGCTGATATTTCTACCAACCCATTCCATCGCATGACGCAGGACATCAAGTCTGCCCCTGTCCCAACTCCCGCACCCGCGCAGCCTTGGTCTCGCAAGCGAGCCGATTCTGACGACTGGGGCTCCGATAAGGAGTCGGACGACGATGACTCTGACGATGACCGGCCCGGCGGTGGCAACGCTGCTCAGCTGGCGTCTATCTTGTTTGGTACCATG